CTTTGAAAACCTTTGATTTTGAACTCTAATTAGCTTGAAATGTTTCTGCACAAGACATGTTTACTGGAAGTTTAGCATTTGACTTGTGAGCACAAGAAATCTGATGCGTGCTCTATACTATTGATTATTTTCCTCTTCCTCTGTCATGAGTTTTCATTGTTAGGCAGCGGTCACACTTGACATGCTTGTCAGAGTTGACCTGCAGGTTATTGATAACTGCAGAATCTGCCTGTCACTTTCATTCGCTATAGGTCAACAAGCTCAAGGTCTGCATTTCTGCCATCCATCAATGTCTGCCTTTCTACTTCTTCAGCTCGGAGTTAAAACAAAAGCATTTTAAACACACCTTTGAACACATTTACTACTCCACATTTGACTGATCTGGTAAATGGAAATATTTAATAGTTTAAACTGCTATTATGTTTTAACAGAGGAGATAACAGGACATGCATCTACAGGGAGTGCAGAATTATCAGGCAAGTTGTATTTTTGAGGAATAATTTTATTATTGAACAACAACCATGTTCTCAATGAACCCAAACAAGTCATTAATATCAAAGCTGAATGTTTTTGGAAGTAGTTTTTAGTTTGGTTTTAGTTTTAGCGACTATTACTGTGCATAATTATTAGGCAACTTAACAAAAAACAAATACATACCCATTTCAATTATTTATTTTTACCAGTGAAACCAACATCTCCGCATTCACAAATATACATTTCTGACATTCAAAAACAATACAAAAACAAATCAGCGACCAATATAGCCACCTTTCTTTGCAAGGACACTCAAAAGCCTGCCATCCATGGATTCTGTCAGTGTTTTGATCAGATCACCATCAACATTGCGTGCAGCAGCAACCACAGCCTCCCAGACACTGTTCAGAGAGGTGTACTGTTTTCCCTCCTTCTAAATCTCACATTTGATGATGGACCACGGGTTCTCAATGGGGTTCAGATCAGGTGAACAAGGAGGCCATGTCATTAGTTTTTCTTCTTTTATACCCTTTCTTGCCAGCCACGCTGTGGAGTACTTGGATGCGTGTGATGGAGCATTGTCCTGCATGAAAATCATGTTTTTCTTGAAGGATGCAGACTTTTTCCTGTACCACTGCTTGAAGAAGGTGTCTTCCAGAAACTGGCAGTAGGACTGGGAGTTGAGCTTGACTCCATCCTCAACCCAAAAAGGTCCCACAAGCTCATCTTTGATGATACCAGCCCAAACCAGTACTCCACCTCCACCTTGCTGGCGTCTGAGTCGGACTGGAGCTCTCTGCCCTTTACCAATCCAGCCACGGGCCCATCCATCCGGCCCATCAAGACTCACTCTCATTTCATCAGTCCATAAAACCTTAGAAAAATCAGTCTTGAGATATTTCTTGGCCCAGTCTTGACGTTTCAGCTTGTGCGTCTTGTTCAGTGGTGGTCGTCTTTCAGCCTTTCTTACCTTGGCCATGTCTCTGAGTATTGCACACCTTGTGCTTTTGGGCACTCCAGTGATGTTGCAGCTCTGAAATATGGCCAAACTGGTGGCAAGTGGCATCTTGGCAGCTGCACGCTTGACTTTTCTCAGTTCATGGGCAGTTATTTAGCGCCTTGGTTTGTCCACACGCTTCTTCCTGGACCCTGTTACTGTTTTGAATGAAACGCTTCATTGTTCGATGATCACGCTTCAGAAGCTTTGCAATTTTAAGACTGCTGCATCCCTCTGCAAGATATCTCACTGTTTTTGACTTTTCTGAGCCTGTCAAGTCCTTCTTTTGACCCATTTTGCCAAAGGAAAGGAAGTTGCCTAATAATTATGCACACCTGATATAGGGTGTTGATGTCATTAGACCACACCCCTTCTCATTACAGAGATGCACATCACCTAATATGCTTAAATGGTAGTAGGCTTTCGAGCCTATACAGCTTGACAACATACATGAAGAGGATGATGTGGACAAAATACTCATTTGCCTAATAATTTTGCACTCCCTGTATTTTCTGGTCCGTTCCTTTTTTCTTTGATGTTGCAGCACATCTGGCCAATAGTCCTCTCCTGCATGTTTCAATAATGAGCAGGTAAACTTGTCTGTGTCTTTGGGCTCTTCGGTGTCAGGAGATGATAATGCATCATTTACAGCAAGCCTAGAAAAGGTCAGACCTGCTTCCAAGAGTGCAGCTGGTCTGGTGTCACAGAGGTAGGAATAAAGAAGTTGGTTCTTCCTGAGCTGCTTTGCACAGAGATTTGAAATTTGAGTGAACCTGATTTTATTGACAATTATTTGAAAGCTACATTCCTAATAACCTCAATGTGTGAAACTTTTTTTGCAGTTTTTTTCCCTTCCCAGCACAAAAGGAGAGGAACACAAGGTGGAAGACATGGAGACGCGAGAGAACAATTGGGATGGAAAATAGGGGTATTAGCACTCTGCAAAACCATCAGAAACTATAAAAGAATGAGAATTATAAATCTGCCTATAACTGCTCTAGCTGGCCTTAAAGGCACAAGAAGTAAGAATTCTAGAGTGAAAAAATCACAAAACAGTCTAATGCCTCCATCATGCTAGAAGGAAGGTTACACTGAAAAATTTCCTTCACAGCTGGCTGGGGGGTTGCCAGTTTTTCTCCTTTTCAAAAATGCCAAAGAGGGACACAGTCTTTGTTTGCAATTGGTCCTGCTTCCATAGTTCCTGGTTCCAGAAACAATCATATTTGAGCTTGCGGAGTTGCCAAGCCTGCTCCGGCATTTGTAATTCAACACCAGCCTACAAAAAGCAGCAGCGTTGTGGGGAGAGTGTTACACAGTAAACTGAAGTGGCCCAGAAGTTATGTCTTGTACCTCTAAGAAGCCACGGCATATTTTTGTTTTACTCTACTAACGGGTGAAGAAGGCTAGAGGCTAACGATGAGCTAACAATGCTAACAGTAAATAATAAAAAAAACATTCAGCTCTAAAGCATTTAAAAGTAACTAATTTCTAATTAAAGTAATTAATTTTAAAGTAGCTAATTTCTTATGCTTTGCATGATCTTTGAATCAACCTGCAAATCCAGCATTAGCAAACGTTAACATTGAAAGATTTTTTCTGTCAACGTGCTGAAAATTAGTCCATTTGGAGCACGAGAGCAGCTGCGTGATGGAAAACGTGGTGTTCAAGACCAGAAAAAGCACAGTTTATATGGTGCTGTGAGACAACAAATCCCTATTTGGGTGTTGGAAGTTTAGTACCATTGACTCTAGTGGTGGTGTCCACCCTGGGACTGGGAGATCAGGGTTCATATCTGGTCAGGTCATACTTTTCATAATGCCTCCCTGCTGCACTCAGCACTGAGGGGTTAAGCCGCCAAATAGTTCCCGAGCACAGCCACTGCTGCAGCTCACGTACCCCACAGGTATGGGCCAGATGTGGAAATGTAATTTCAGCTGTGTGGGATGGTGACTAATGGAACTTTAATTTTACTGAACCATGCTAATTTGCTTGTGCTTCCTGTTCTGCATCACAAGCAACTCTTCTAATTTAACTGATTCCAATTGTTTTGGATGAAATCTGGTGATGATTGGGTTACAACCAATCAGCGTGAGTTAACCAAAAGTTCCACTCCACTACTCGTCCAGGCCTTTCCCAGCACCTACCTCTCTTCAGGTAATTCAAAAACTCCTGAAAATGGCCCAGAAAACGGCCCATTTGGCCAGCCTGGTGAAGTGGAGACACGCGAGAGCCAGGAAGCTCCAGTGTAAATACCCTGAAGTTCCAACAATGAAAACACACCTATGGTCACATGGGCAGCTAATTTGTGAGCAAAATAGTTTTCTGTATCATTCCTGATTTGCTCAACATCTTTTCTTACGCCAATCATCTTAAGGCATGACCAGTTGACTTGATTCAGTAAGTTTCACATTATGGGGCAGAGAAAAAAGCTGTGTCGACATCCAAGTCAAATCCTGCCAGCTTTCCCAACTGGTAAAATGATTGGGTGTCCTACTAGCACATATATTTCTAGATGCATTGTTCTTTTTCTCCAAAGAGCACTGTGAAATATGGGGCAAAAAATAGGTGCGGAGAAATAAAGTGAGAAAGAGAATGATCAAAACTGAGTGAGCATGACCCCATCTCACTAGAGGAACACTTGGATTTTCTAGACTATTATTTCCACCACAAGCTGTTTTAGAAAATAATATCTTGGATCTATTGTGGGTTTTTTCCCCCTTCATTTAAACAGAAAAAAAAATCTGTGAGAATTGATGTTCATAGAGGCTTACGTTTAGATGCCGTCAGCGTATAAGTGACACACAAAGAAAGCTGTCAACTGTGTGAGAGCTCAGATCTGGAAACATCACTGGCCCTGCAAAAACCTCACACCAAGATGGACGGTTTCTATAGTAGCATTGAAGGTTGATCTGGCAGCAGGTGTGTGTTTGAGCACCATTGGAGCTGGGGTGTCTGTACAACGCAGCATAAAACAAACACTCGTTTTACACACACACACACACACACACACACACACTCAGACATATATATATATATATATATATATATATATATATATATATATATATATATATATATAACAAACACTCGTTTTACACACACAGACATATATATATATATATATATATATATATATATATATATATATATATATATATATATATATATATATATATATATACATACAGTATATAAAGAACTGGCTTGTGTGGGTTTGTTTGGGCTTATAAAAAGTGGTGGTGTGACTAACCCCCCAGCAGCCTGTGAACCTGTCCGACTGAGAGCTTAATTTATCAAGCAGAGACAGCAGCTGCAGCATCTTGACTCTGTTATACACACTCACATTACAACATGAAGTAAACAACTAAAAAAAATAAACAATTGTTTGACCCTACATGCACATTGTGTGAGTATTTTTGAATGATTTCGTTTCTTTTTCTTATATTTTCTATTAAATTAAAGCTGGAGCACCTATGAGTGGACGCATAAATAAACCCCACTAGCGACTGGGTGAAGCTGTTCTACTCACATCGTGGAAGATGTTGAGCCCCTGTCCGGAGCTGTACAGCAGCTGTTGCTGGTTCTGCTGAGCCCGGAGATGCTTCTGCTTGGCCGACTGGAGGCACATGGTGATCATCTCCGTGCAGGCCAGCATCTTCAGACGCAACGAGACACTCTGATCGGGGGGAAAAAAGCAACGCTCCAAACTCTGGGGTGCTGTGGCGGAGATGCGGTCAGGTGAGAGCGATGAAGAGCGAAGGCAGGAGGAAAGAAAGGAGGCAGGGGACTGAAGGAGGCTCCGCAACTTTGTGTTGCGTTGCGTTGCTGAGCTGAGCCTGCAGCCCTCCGCACCCCCCTCCTGCAGGAGCTGCTCTGATTGGTCCGTTTATTTGGTCCGCGCTTCTGGATTGAAACGAAATAGATTTCAAGAATATTCATTTTTCTTGTTATGTGACTTCAACAAAGCAGTTTAGGGCTTGAGTCTAAATTTCCCATCAGTTAAAAGCGTCTATTTGCGTCCAATTTGAAATATATTGGGTCAAACTTCTCAGTTAGGACTTTTTCACTTTTCAAATGGTCCATCTTGTAAAATATAGATATTCTTATATTGCCAGCTCTCAAAGCACAGCTCATAACGCTAGGGGAAAAAAATCAACGAATCAAATTCATTATATGTCCAAAATCAGGCTATGGTAATTTAATCAGATTTAGACCAATCCAAAGTAATAGCATTACAACTCAATATCTGTTTAATTCAACCCTTCATAGAGAACGTATGCTCCTTTTAATAGTAAGTCAGAGAAGAACGAGACAAACATAGAAAGTTTTTTTATGATATAGGAAGAGAAACTGAACCAGTTTGAGTCTGCAACGATTTTGAATAGAAACGTGGGAAACGAAGAGTGGAAAAGCAGCAGAGGAAATGTGATCAGGAAGCTTAAAGCAGCATACTGAGTCAGGATAACCCAAGCTAAATGGCAGCTTCCCATTTTAGAAAATACGGAACTTGCAGTTGGAGAGAAAATATCTCTTTTATGAATATGTGGAAAGGGAAATAGATATTTTAGTTTAAAGTAAAAAAAATGTTGTTTAGTTTTGGATTTTATTGGCATGTCATGATGCATCCTAAGTTATTCTGGCAGCAGCATTCTGGATCAGCTGGAGTTTGTTTGTTTTTTTCTTACAGAATTTAGTTGAGCATATTGATAATAAAGAATTGCAATAATAAAATCTAGAATTTATTCATGCTTGGCTTTTTTTACATCACTTTCAGTCAATGTTCCTAATTTTAGCGTTAGCTGTGGATCAAATGAAAGAGGGCAGTCCATAGTTGAAGGACATGGCAACGTAGCAAAGTAGGTTTCTTAAATTATTTCAGGAGTCCAAAAAGCAGTTTAAGGGAGTGATTACACAAGTCAAATCCAAAAACCAACATTAGCTCCACATTTTCCAACTTTAGACCGATGCTGCCATCTGCTGGAGAATGTGGGTCACATCCAGACTTAAAATACGGCTGAATGGTTTGTTTTTGAGGTTTATTTTATAGATATGTTTTAAAAGGGCTCCATGATTGTGACGTCTTGACTGTTTTATTTACCTGGTGTAGGAAACACCAAATCAACACAAAACATTGACTTCCTGGAGATTTCAGTCCGGAGGCGTGGAGCAGAATTTGACCCTCCTTTTTGGACGTTTTCCTTCCTGAACTTTACAGTTTCACTTTCCTTAGTTCCTGTCGGATGGCGAGGAGATTCCCGCAACAGCTTCAAGGGGAAACGAGTGTTACATTCCTGTAATCCTCGGATCTTTGACTCGTTTAGTCTTTGGTTGGAGTGGTAGCAGTCCCCTGGATGCGGACTGAGCTGCAGCGACAAACAGAAAGAGGTTCGCGCAAAAACGCGCAATACAGGCCGATCATCTTTGCGCACTCCTGACATGTGCGTCATTCATATTTCTGTGTTTTCTGCTCGGTTTAGGTGTTGTAATGGAGACTGGCATTTCACCCAGAAGTAACCTGAAAGAAGGTGAGTTGTTCGACTTGTTATCGACTTTCTAATGATCGATCACCCTGATTTATGTTATGAACCTTTCCGCCTCATAAAAGTGAAGAGCGTTTGTTTTCGATTTACACGTTTAGTGATTGTGAAAGTGGGATAATCGGTTATTAACGAACAAACATTTCAGGCTTTTTTTAGTGTCAATTGAGCTTTCTTCATTTTTAAAGACTATCTGATTAGATCAAATTTGATCTATGTAGAAGAATTTTATTGTTAAAAATAAAATGTTGTTATATAACCACAGTTATACCAGCTCAGTGGCCTAGTGGTAGAGTGTCCGCCCTGAGACTGGGAGATCAGGGTTCGATTCCTGGTCGGGTCATACCAAAGACTTTGAAAGAATGGGACCCAATGCCTCCCTGCTTGACACTCAGCATTAAGGGGTTGGATTGGGGGGGTTAAACCACCAAATGGTTCCCGAGCGTGGCTGTGTCTGCAGCTCACCGCTCCCCCAGGGGATGGGTCAAATGGAGAGCAAATTTCGCACACACATCAGTGTGTGTGACAACTAATGGGACTTTAACTTTATATTTAATAGACAAAATGTCCTCAGTTATGTAATCATAAGTGTCACGTGATTGTCTGGTGGCTTCCTGCAGCAGAGGAACTTGCTCTCTCTCTGAGTGAAGCCCTCAGCTGTGGAGACACCGATGAGGCGATTGAGCTGTGCAAGAAGCTTTCTCAACTCTCTGTTCCTGTGTCAGTCAGCATCGACAGCAGTGTCTACCCACAGGACTCCATCAGGTAGGTTATAAATGGCTTCCTTTGTGTGTGTGTGTGTGTGTGTGTGTGTGTGTGTGCGTGCGTGCGTGCGTGCGTGTGTGTTCCAGATCATGAAGCAGCAAAGCACCCCCATATCATCACACCACCACCGTCATGTTCGACTGTTGGTTGGTGTGATGCTGTTTTTCTGAATTGCAGTTTGTTTAAAGGAGCTATAGCGTCCAGAAATGGTCAGTTTTCACCAATATATTTGACCAACATCATCTGCAAGAACAAATCCATTATCTGGGTGGATTTGCTCTCCTGTCTCCTAAAGTCCTGGCCTCTGCAGTGCTTGACAAAAAAGATAACATACTGTCAACAAACTGTTCTTTTCAAGGCCTCAGTGTTCCCCTTATTGCTTCGACAGGATTCCACACTCTAAATGAAAAGTGACCTTTTACAACTCATAAGTTAAATAATCATTAAATAGTCATATGGCTGAATGAACATATGTTATATGAATAATAATAATAATAATAATATTGAAATAATCTGTGCCTAAATCAGTGAAGATGAAATGAATATTGCTCTGACGATGATATTACATATTTTGGTCAGTGCTGTGTGGTACAAGTTACTCATTGTCATGTTCTGTGTCCCTTTGTTCCCTAGCCCTCCAGTTCCCACTCCAGGTTCTCCTTTTGTGTTTCATGGCGCCCTCATGTGTCCTTTGTCTGCGTCTTTCCCCATGTGTCTCCTAATGTTTCTCCATCCCTCTCTGGATTCCCTTTTGTGTTCTCTTAGCGCCCTCATGTGTCCTTTGTCTGCATCTCTGTTGTGTGTCTTAAGTTATAGCCACAGCCTCTTGTTCCCCAGTTCATAGTTTGTGTGTCTCAGTATGTGTATGTGTTTGTGTGAGTTCTTCCCTTAGTCTTTAGGTTTAGTTTTGTGTTTTACATAGTGTTAGGTTTATCTGCCCTCCACTGGTTCTCTTCCCCATCCAGATAATTGTTGTCACCTGCCTTCCCTCCAGCCTCACTCCACACACCTGCTTCCTGTTTCCCTAATTGCTCCTCCCTGTCTATATAAGCCCTCCTTGTCTCTGTGTTCTGGTCGGTCCATTAATGTTTGCTTGTTGTTCTTGTCAGCCTCGTCTCGTTCCTGTTCCTAGCTTCTAATGATTCCAGTGTTTTCCAGTGTTCCTAGTTCTCTGAAGTTTTTGATTACTCTGTTTAGATTTTTTTGGATTTTTTTGGTTTGGGCTCCCTGCTTCTTGGACTACTCCTAATAAAGGATTTTATTTTCATCATCCACCTCCTGCCTCGTTCATCTGGGTTCTGCATTTTTGGGTCCTAAAACATCCTACCACATCAAATCCTGACAGAATGGACCGACCCACACAGGACCCAGCGGGAACTCCAGGTACACAGGAGATCTATTACGATGGTGATCCAGACCTTTGTGTGGAGTTCATTCGGAACTGTGCCCGTTGTTTGGACTTGAAATCCTCAGAGTTCGACAAGGTGTCGTATATGGTGCTTTGGTTGAGGGGTAAGGCCTTGCAGTGGGTTGCTGACCACTTTGACATAGAGGATCTTAGGGCGGTGTCGTTTTGGGACTTTGCTGCATTGCTCCTCCGCACTTTTGGCCGAGATCCTCCTCCACTAGTCGCTCATGCCACCTCAGCATCTCAGATGGGTTACACCGCCACACCCTCACCAGGTCCTGACAGCGCCACCACTTACTCTCCGGTGGGCTGTCATTCCTCCTCAATTCCTGCCAGTGTCCTCTCCATACCTCAGCTGAGCCAAGGAAAACCACGCCGACGACGCCGCAACCCTCCTGCTCCGGCGGTGGTCCCGGTGGACGCATCGCCTCCTGCTCCAGCGGTGGTCCCGGTGGACGCATCGCCTCCTGCTCCGGCGGTGGTCCCGGTGGACGCATCGCCTCCTGCTCCGGCGGTGGTCCCGGTGGACGCATCGCCTCCTGCTCCGGCGGTGGTCCCGGTGGACGCATCGCCTCCTGCTCCGGCGGTGGTCCCGAGGGTCGCATCGCCTCCTGCTCCGGCGGTGGTCCCGGGGGTCGCATCGCCTCCTGCTCCGGCGGTGGTCCCGAGGGTCGCATCGCGTCCTGCTCCAGCGGTGGTCCCGAGGGTCGCATCGCGTCCTGCTCCAGCGGTGGTCCCGAGGGTCGCATCGCGTCCTGCTTTGACTGATGAGGTCCAAGAGGTCCCGGTCCCGGCCCAGCCTGTCCAAGAGGCTCCGGTCCAGCCCATCCATCTGGACCCGAAGTCGATGGTGGTCAACGGCTCTTCCTGTTCCGAAGTCGACGCCCCTTCCTGTTCTGAAGTCGACGCCCCTTCCTGTTCCGAAGTCGACGCCCCTTCCTGTTCCGAAGTCGACGCCCCTTCCTGTTCCGAAGTCGACGCCCCTTCCTGTTCCGAAGTCGACGCCCCTTCCTGTTCCGAAGTCGACGCCCCTTCCTGTTCCGAAGTCGACGCCCCTTCCTGTTCCGAAGTCATCGCCTCTGATGACGACATGTCCAAAGTCGTCGCCTCTGATGACGACATGTCCAAAGTCATCGCCCCTGATGACGTCGCCTCCCCTGATGACGTCGCCTCCCCTGATGACGTCGCCTCCCCTGATGACGTCGCCTCCCCTGATGACGTCGCCTCCCCTGATGACGTCGCCTCCCCTGATGTCGCCTCCCCTGATGTCGCCTCCCCTGATGTCGCCTCCCCTGATGTCGCCTCCCCTGACGTCGCCTCCCCTGACGTCGGCTCGCCTGACGTCGGCTCGCCTGACGTCGGCTCGCCTGACGTCGGCGCCTCCCCTGATGTCGGCTCGCCTGATGTCGTCGCCTCCCCTGATGTCGGCTCGCCTGATGTCGTCGCCTCCCCTGATGTCGGCTCGTCTGACGACGTCGCCTCCCCTGATGTCGGCTCGTCTGACGACGTCGCCTCTGGTCTGATGTCTCTTCTGTCTCTAGTTCCAGTGGTGATTCTGAAGGTCGCACCGGTCCAGCCTGTCCACGAGCCCCCCGTCCAGCCTGTCCACGAGCCCCCCGTCCAGCCTGTCCACGAGCCCCCCGTCCAGCCTGTCCACGAGCCCCCCGTCCAGCCTGTCCACGAGCCCCCCGTCCAGCCTGTCCACGAGCCCCCCGTCCAGCCTGTCCACGAGCCCCCCGTCCAGCCTGTCCACGAGCCCCCCGTCCAGCCCGTCCACGAGCCCCCCGTCCAGCCCGTCCATGAGCCCCCGGTCCAGACGTCAATGCCTCCAGGCCGGAGGTTGACGCCTCCCGTCTCGGGCCCCTGCTCTGAAGTGGACGTCTCGGGCCCCTGCTCTGAAGTGGACGTCTCGGGGCCCTGCTCTGAAGTGGACGTCTCGGGCCCCTGCTCTGAAGTGGACGTCTCGAGCCCCTGCTCTGAAGTGGACGTCTCGAGCCCCTGCTCTGAAGTGGACGTCTCGAGCCCCTGCTCTGAAGTGGACGTCTCGAGCCCCTGCTCTGAAGTGGACGTCTCGAGCCCCTGCTCTGAAGTGGACGTCTCGAGCCCCTGCTCTGAAGTGGACGTCTCCATGTCCCCGTCTCAAGTCTCCCAAGTCTCAAGTGTCCCACTCTCCCCAAGTCTCAAGTCTTCCAGTCTCCCCAGTCTCAAGTGTCCCACTCTCCCCTGTCACAAGTCTTCCAGTCTCCCAACTCTCAGGTCTCCTAGTTCCAGTCTCCCAGATGCAAGTGTTCCAGTCACAATCCCCGTCTCCAGAGATCCTTCGCCGGCCCCCTAGACTTCTTAGGTCCCGCCTCCTGGTTCCCCGTCGCCGACCCCCACGACTCCTCTGGTCCCGTCTCCTGGTTCCCCGTCGCCGGCCCCCTAGACTTCTCCGGTCCCATCTCCTGGTTCCCCGTTGCCGGCCCCCCAGAGTCCCCTGGTCCCTGGACCCTCCTCGCCCACCCTTGTGGGTTGTTTTTTGGTCCGGGCCCTCCTCTCCCGCCCTGTGGTCTCTCGTGTCCTGTTTTGTCTTTGTCTTTTGTTTCTGTTTTTGTCTTGTTCTGGTTTTGTGCGTCTGGTATCCGCCCTTGAGGGGGGGGTACTGTCATGTTCTGTGTCCCTTTGTTCCCTAGCCCTCCAGTTCCCACTCCAGGTTCTCCTTTTGTGTTTCATGGCGCCCTCATGTGTCCTTTGTCTGCGTCTTTCCCCATGTGTCTCCTAATGTTTCTCCATCCCTCTCTGGATTCCCTTTTGTGTTCTCTTAGCGCCCTCATGTGTCCTTTGTCTGCATCTCTGTTGTGTGTCTTAAGTTATAGCCACAGCCTCTTGTTCCCCAGTTCATAGTTTGTGTGTCTCAGTATGTGTATGTGTTTGTGTGAGTTCTTCCCTTAGTCTTTAGGTTTAGTTTTGTGTTTTACATAGTGTTAGGTTTATCTTCCCTCCACTGGTTCTCTTCCCCATCCAGATAATTGTTGTCACCTGCCTTCCCTCCAGCCTCACTCCACACACCTGCTTCCTGTTTCCCTAATTGCTCCTCCCTGTCTATATAAGCCCTCCTTGTCTCTGTGTTCTGGTCGGTCCATTAATGTTTGCTTGTTGTTCTTGTCAGCCTCGTCTCGTTCCTGTTCCTAGCTTCTAATGATTCCAGTGTTTTCCAGTGTTCCTAGTTCTCTGAAGTTTTTGATTACTCAGTTTAGATTTTTTTGGATTTTTTTGGTTTGGGCTCCCTGCTTCTTGGACTACTCCTAATAAAGGATTTTATTTTCATCATCCACCTCCTGCCTCGTTCATCTGGGTTCTGCATTTTTGGGTCCTAAAACATCCTACCACATCAAATCCTGACACTCATTAGATATAAATTACGGTTAAGGTCACATCTCACAATAGTTTAAAGATTATTTATCCACAGAGTTAGAACATTTTTGTATGTGATGAAGGTGTGGTTTCTGAGGGATGTTTGGTAAACCTACAAAATGTCAAATTCTGATTCGCCAGAGGCATAACATGGTGGATTAATAAAACAGGATTTACTTCCCGATTAACTCAGTTTCTAGCTGACACCTCGATTCGGCCAAGTTGGGAAAGAAGCCTTTTTGAAACAACCTCCTTTGACCTTAAGTCAAAACCTTGCCATGAAGCTGCAAGTGATTACAGACACAACAGCTCGTTCCAGAGCTACTGCAACTCTCAGACATCCTCTTGGACACCTAATCTGCAGACCCGGGTTGTATCTCATGGCCGGGGAAGTTGAGCTCAGGACGCTACTAATCTCTTGAGGATTGTGGTCTCGACGTCCGGTGACCTCACCACTCTAACCGCAAACCTCCCAGATACAATGGTTCTGATATACATTTACTTGCTCTGGCAGTGTGAGCATCCTGTCACAGTGGCCTGATTGATAATGCGCCCTGGCTACTTGGCCAAGGAGATGGCCCTTTGGCTGACTGGTAAGCGCGCGTGACTCACGCGGGAGTCTGGGGATTGAATCCCGCCCGGGCCCTCGTTTCTCCACCTTGCCACATTTACATCACATTCCATCACATTCCATCGCATATAGCTTGTCATGTGTTATAATTAGTCTAGAAAATAAAGTTTGTTTTTAATTATATACTTGATTATGTCTGAATTAATACGAAGTGTGTTTATGGTCCTTGAATAAGCAAATAATTCTAAATTATTCTGGTTAAACATTCAAAGGTCAATCAGGTTGATAATCTATATTTATATTGAATCATCACATCTTATTGGTCATAAATTAACCCCCCCAATCTCACTACAGATTAATATGTAAGATTTCTAAAGTGGAATAATCACAAAACAGTTTAATGTGTCGATGATTTTGGAAGGAAGGTTATACGGAAACAGATTTCATTCTCAGTCGGTTGGGGGGTTGTCTGTTTTGGTAATTTCGAAAAATTCAAATAAGGACGTTGTTCTAGCTTACAATTAGTGAGCCTGCGGGGTTGCAGAATCTGTAGCGAGCTAACGCAGCAGCGCTCACATGTGTAATAAACACCAGCAGGCAAAAAGCTCCTGAGTTGTTTAAAGAACTAAAACCAGTAAAAAGGCAAACCAGAAGTTATTTCTTGTATCACTAAAAAGCCCCACCATCCTATTGTTTTAAGCCAGGCGTACACTGTGCGACTTTTTCACTTTTTTGAGCCGATTTTCCACTCGTGCGAGAATCCACGAGATCGGGGCGAGTTTTGCGCCGAGCGTCGTGTAGTGTACAGGGGGTTACGAGAGGCCATTAACACCACGTGACCAGCTACCGATCAGCAATCGTGAGCTCGCACAAACTTCTGGTGTGTTTAATATTTTTCTCGTCCCTCGTGAGGTAATCGCACTGTTGAAGCGGTGCTGCAAGCAGCTGTGACCCAAAAAGTATCAGAACCTCTCACGGCGCATGCGCAATCATGCATCAACACTGCTCACCTGCTATTTCCCTAATAACACACGTTGTTCGTTTTTATTTTTACACGTTTTTTACTCACAAAGATTGTCAAGAAAGCATGTTTGTCGTGTTCATGTCAAATTAAACTGATCACAAAACAGATTTACTTTCTTTATTTCGTTTTCCTCATCCAACCCCCATAAATCCCTGTGTGTCCTCCTGCAGCACTCCCGAAGGACAACAGGCGAAACAAGACAAAACAGTCTGACGTGTTGTGTAAAATCTGCTATTTTTAGCATATTTTTAGGTCTGACGTGTTGCTACCAGACGTACAGTGTGAGCAGTCAGGTCGCATCTGAGAACTGGGTCGTACAGTGTGAGCACATGACTCGTAAGATCTGCCCTGCGAGGAAGTCGTACAGTTTGAGCTGAAGCTGAGTGCTGTGAGTAAAAAAGTTGCACAGTGTCCACCCAGCTTTACTCATATCCAGTGAAGCAGGCTAGAGGCTAACTTTGCGCTAACAATACTAACTGTGAATTAGCAGCAAGTGGTCTGCTCTAAAAATATCTCAAGTAACTTTTTCAATCACCAACAACTCGATATTACAGTGAAATGAATGTGTGAATTAAATAATGAGTCAATCGTGGCGTTTTTCTTCCTTTAATGAGGCGAACTATAACAGCAAGCTAACAGCAAGAAGGCAAACAACCACACTTCCTGTAATGCCAGAGGCATACTACTGTAATAAGTGTAGTAAGTGCTCCCTACTCTAAAACACAAGACTACTAACACCAGATACAACAATGTACTTATCAACTTACTGTGTATGACCCATCTTTGCTTGTCATCTAGCATTTTCTGGTGTTGTTCCGTAATTGGCAACAGCCATTAAACTCATGAAAAAGTCTTATTTTTGCTTAACAAATGGACTACCATACCACATTTGACCACATGATGTCATTCTTACAAAATGTACCTTTAATAATGGGACACACATCTTCCAAAAAGTTCAGTTTTTGTCTTGTTGGTCAACTCAGTTTTTTTAAGTCTTTGAGATCATTAAAGTGTATTTTTCTTTTCTCTTCTTTTTATTTTTTGGCAAATGTTAGTCTGGATCTTTGAGTTCCTTTTGGTCAGCAGAAGTTGCCGTTTCATGCCGTCTTGTATTGACTCAGCCTATATTTGTCTGATAAAGAAAATAACTTGAAACATGTACAGTAAGTGTGATGTAAAAGGCCCAAAATAAGGAATGTTTAAGGGGGGCAAAACTTTTTTACAGCACTGTCCAGAAGTGTCTCACTGGTCACGTTGTTTTCTAGGTTGATGGTTGGAGTGGAAGATGCCCAATCAGATAACTACATTCCATTGACTGTTATGGTTTCCTCTGGCATGACAATTGGACAACTTAAAGATAAGGTGAAACATGAGGGGATATAAAGTTCAGCTTCTGCCTAATACGACATTTTTCTTGGATGTTGATTCAGTTTAATCATCATTATTTTCTTCCAAAAAGCTTGACTTTCTTATAATCTTTGAATGGAACTTTATATGTTTGGCTCCTTTCAAACATAAATAAATGAGGAACGGATCCAGATCTTAGCATCATACTGGATATATGTGGATTTTTTTGAACTTGTATTTTAAAGGTTTAAACATTTCCCATCTCCCTCTTACTCCTAGATCAACCAGGACTTTGGGTTCCACCCATTACTGCAGCGCTGGGTGATTGGGAAGCGGATAGCTAAAGACCAGGACACGTTATATTATCATGGTATCCGCAAGAATGGGGATCAGGCGTTCCTGTTCATCCTCTCTGCTCAATCTGTTCATCTCACACGGCATCAATACCAGCAGGACCAGGAGCAGCAGCGTCTAGAGGGTCAGTGTAACTCGTCATCAAGCTGGAGTTAGAAGATCAGCTCCAATTTATTAAGTCGTGTTTTGTTTACAAATAGTAATAAAAAACAAAAACCACCCAAAGCGACAGAAAACCTGTTATGCCTGTCTTGTGTGTACGCATATGATGAATATGACACCGCACTTTCCTAAATGATCTTTATATTTTAGGGATCGTGGATTCAATCAGGCTCCTTCCCAGAGGGCTTGGCGGAATAAATGAAAATAAAGCTCCTCCTCCTGTTCCTCCTAAAAAGCCAGTTGCTAAAAAGCCTGCCATGCTTCTGAAACCTCAGGTGAGCCTGTTTTAAACATTTTCATTTCCACACTAAGAAAAAGAAAAAACTTAAAAAATGGACAACACATCCAGGTTGTTATTTAAGTTTTCAGAGATTTGACTCCTGCATGTTTTAGATCTTGAACACAGCTTTTTTGTTTGATTTAGTGATGAATCACTCCTGTAGAAACTAATGAAGGTTGAGGAGACATTTCAGTAGAGAGATTAAGGTGAGCACACAGCGAGGAGTTGTTTCAGTCTTGTTTTTACGACAGTGAAATAGAATGGACACCAGGGGATGCTGAAAGCAAGCCAGAACTGCATCGTTTTCATTTATAGATGTTCGTTCCTGCAACAGGGTATGCGCGTCACAGCCAGCAGGCCTGCTCTTATCTACAAAACACCTGAGAGCTGCATCTGTAGAGTTGTGATGAAAAGGTAGCTCATACTTCTCCAGGGGACTGCAAAACATGATGTTTGCTACCACAGATAGGCATTCAGGGCAGTAAACACCGCTATCTTGGTTGTGACCTGTTTCTGTTTGTAGGAAATTTTCATCTTTGCTTGCTGCAGTGAACTCAGAAAACAGGGAGTTTGTTTTTAAGACGACATATCAGATTTGTCTTTTCCACCATGCAAAGTACCCAGCATGCACACATTACAAGTGGCTATTGCACTATCTTCACTGTCCACTTAAAAATACAACCACTGAGGGGACACGATTGGCCTGCATTGCCCTGTTGGCTCTTCGCTACATTTAACATTGTCTGAAATCCCCGCAGTAACTTATGTGACGTACAGAGTGCTGTCATCCATGAAACAATAATTACTGATGTAGTGGAAGTTGTTAAAATGAAACCTAATCCATTTTTATTACGTTTGAGAATCTTTCTCAGGATGAATGTAAAAGATAATTCTTACTGGCACTGGACTCACTCTGTCAGCGCCTAGAACAAGTTAACGACTGGATGCAGTCAAACTTCCTTCAACTAAACAAAGACAAGACTGAAGTTATTGTCTTTGACAACAAGAGTGATAGAGTGGATGTTATTGCTCGGCTAGACTCCAGGGGAATAAAGACAAAGACCCAGGTTAGAAATCTTGGTGTTATTATTGACTCAGACATGAGCTTCTCTGGACATATTTAACTAAATCAGCGTTTTATCACCTTCATCAAATATCAAGAGTCAGAGGTCTCATGTCCAGACCAGACTTAGAGAAACGTATTCATGCTTTTATTCATAGTCGGCCGAACTACTGCAATGGTCTCCTAACTGGTCTTCCCAAAAAAAGCTGTGAAGCAACTGCAGTTTGTTCAGAATGCTGCTGCTAGAGTCTTGACAAGAACTAAGGGAACGGAGCACATCACTCCTGTTCTTAGATCCCTACACTGGTTACCAGGAAACTAAAGAATAGATTTCAAAGTGCTCCTACTAGTTTATAAATCACTCAATGGCATGGGACCAAATTACATGTCCGATCTCATTCCTGTATATACACCCAATAGGGCTCTGAGATCCCTTGGAAACAATCAGCTGGTAGAGCCTCGGGTCAGAACAAAACAAGGTGGAGATGCTTTTAGTTACTATGCTGCTCACATATGGAATCAGCTTCCCCATGACCTCAGATGTGCCTCAACTCTAGTGTTGTTTAAATCTAAACTAAAAACCCTAATGTACTCATCAGCCTTGTTTATTATGTTGCATTATCTCCACTGCAACCTGTGCGGTAACTTTGTCCTCTCCTTTAGCTCTTAACTATAATTCTATCTATATGATTTTAAAAGGACTTTTTGGACTTTTGAATTTTTATGCTCGCGATTGCCCTCTCAGGCCAAAAGCGTAACAGCAGCTTCAATATTAGGCTCGTGCACGAGGCGCGCATGATGCACGTGCACACTCCTTAACGAAAATAACAAATGAGACAGTCCCGTGCGTACGTGTGGCCCGGAGGACAGAAGAACACAGCAAATTAATAAAAATAATGTGCCCCCGTCTCTGCAGCTGCACTTTCTCGTTGGCCGGCCGAATGTGCATTGTGTGTGTGTGTGTGTGTGTGTGTGCGTGCGTGCGTGCGTGCGTGCGTGCGTGTGTGCGCGCGCGTGTGTCTGTGTGGCCCGAAGGACAGAGGACAGGAGAACACGCAGCTAATTAATAAAATAATTTGGTTCTGTACCTTTCTCTTCAGCACAGCCGACAAAGGTTTATGATGGGTCAGTCCTCCTGCATGCTCAGATCATTCCTTTCCCTTGCTTGAAAAATTGTTCCAAAATGAAAGTTGAACCCACATCTTTTTTTATCCATGAATTCAATGCCGTTCGGCGAGTCTCAAGTAAAAATTTGGGCGTCTTATTACTGTAAAAAAATATACCATTAATGTAAAAAAGAATCTCCAAATAAATTATGTTCACACATGGGCTGCATGGTGGCGCAGTGGTTAGTACTGTTGCCTCGCAGCACGAAGGTCGCAGTTCAAAACTCGGCTGTGGCCTTTCTGCGTGGAGTTGCGTGTTCTCTCCATGCATGCGTGGGTTTCCTCCGGGTACTCCGGTTTCCCCCACAGATCACAACATGCTCTATAGGTTATAAATTGTAAGTCGCTTTGGATAAAAGTGTCTGCTAAACAAATAAACATAAACATAAATAAACACACCCGGAATCAAACCCAGGTCTTCTGCATGAGAATCAGACATCTTACAGGGTCAGCTGCACGCCAGTAACATTTGGCGTGTCTGTAACTTTTATATCCTTGATGACAGCTGAAACAACATCAATCCAAAGAACAGTTCGGAGTGAAAATGGCTATTTTGTTGCTAATTTGCAGGAAATATCTAGAAGAAAGTTCTACAGAAAGTAGCTAGGGGTCCTCAGAAATGTAGCTAGGTTCATCACTAGGCGTTAGGAACAGCGACAAAGTCGCTGAGTTGGCACTACCTCTCTCTCTGCTGCTAAAGCTACGGATAGCAAATGCTACGGGCTATGCCTGAGCGTGAACGCGCATGAAGCAGCCTGCTCGACCCGAGCACCTCTCTTTTTCTGTGATTTTACAGAAAAACTGGCAATCACAGTAAAAATGCCAGGGCTCATTCTACAGGACCAGGGCATTGCAGGAGAATGTATGAAGAAGAAATTTATTATTTCTATGCATATTTTCACTGTCAAACTTCCTTATAGTCCCTTTAATTTGTGTTTTTATGTGTTTTCATATCATATCCTGAAAATTGTAAAGCACATAGAATTGCCTCTGTGTTTGAAATGTGCACTAAAAATAAAGCTGCCTTGCCTTATTGTTTTATAGCCTCATATCTGATGTTTTCCACCTGATCCCAGATCCTTTGAAACCCACATGATTATCAAACATGTAATGAATGGGAGCATTCCTAGTTATAATATATTGTAAATCAATAATAATAATAAATAGCATCACTAATAAAGTATGTTTTTGTCACAGCTGGGATGGGAGTGTGTGATGTGCACATACCTGAACAAGCCAACACGCCCGGGCTGTGAGATGTGTGGAGGGGACAGGCCAGAGGATTACAGGGTGCCGGACATCTACAAGCCAGACGAGGAGGAAGTAGAACGGATTGAACAGGAACAGCTGGCACTGCTGCAGTTTGAACTAGTAACTGTGATGCTCATTATCAACCAGGCTCCTTAAATCAAGAAAACGTTCTTATTGCACGACTAATTTCTGTACAGAAATGGTCGGACTGCGTACAGTAAACAGAAATGTGTAATTATTGTTCATATTGTTGAACTGAATTTCTGCTTTGCTCTTTGTGATGAAGGCTCAGCAGGAAGAACGCGAGCAGAACTACTTGTACTTTTTGGCAACAGATGATCAGAACCTTATTGCGAACACAACGGCTGCAGATTGCCCCGTTTGTTTTACAGCGATGGCGCCAGGAGACGGTGTTGTACTCAGAGAATGTCTGCACACTTTCTGCAGGTTTGGGAGTGAACACTTGTGTGGGTTTAGTGTAAATATGAAAATTAGCCACATATAAGGCAAAAACATGATAGTTTTGGCACATTTTACTGTACGAGAAAGGGAGAAGCTAAAATATTTGTCAGTATCTTTGTGGGAAATATCGTGATCATTTTTCAATCACATTACGGCTAATTCTAAACGTTTCAATTGTTTGTATGTTCATGTTTAATTTTGTGTGCTTTAGGGAGTGTCTAAAAGAGACAATAGTAAACAGTCAGGACGCTGAGGTGTCCTGTCCAGACAACTGTGACAGCAAGTTACTGGACCGAGAGATTAAAGAGGTGAGCAGGATCAATGAGAATAAAGAAAACGCACAGCATCGCACATTTTCAGTCAGTGATGTTTTTGCCTCTGGGCATACTTCCTTGTGGTCTAGCTCAAAAATATTCCATGAACAACTAGATGGATTGTAATGATGCTCTTAATCTAATGTTGAATGTGCATGTGCTACAACTGATTAACTTTTGAAGTCAGTCGGATTCAAAGTGAATGTCACAGCTTGTCAGTCTTTGTTTATACACAACAATCTGTTACTCAATTAATTTAAAGGGATACTATGCAACTTTTTCACATTTTAAATCATTTTCTTGAGTCATTATGTGCTAAAATGGACCTTTACAGGGTTAATGAAAGGCCACCCAGCCCCAATCGCCTCCTGTGGCCAGAATATTCAACTTGCAACTTTAGAGTGACTGGTCTGGTCTGTTAGGATTTAGAAAAAAACTGAGCTGGCATACCTGGCGCTGCTGTCTGATTTCAGCTCGTTTCCTGCATGTTTTAGATGAACACAGCTGATTTATTTAATTTAGTGATGACTCACGCCTGTAGACACTAATGAAGGCTGGAGAAACAGTGTGATTAGGTGTTAAAACCATGAGCCCACAGCAAGGAGATAAGTTTTGCTTTCGGTTCTACAAATGGACACTAGGGGTGCTAAAAACAAGTAAAACTGCTTAGTCTCCCTTTAACAGAGATTGAGCTAAATATTGATGTGCTAATAGTTGAGGTTGTTCTCAACACACAACCTAAACTAAATAACAAATATATTTTAGTCTAATGTAGCATTTGTTTTTATTCTGTACATCCTAAAACCTTTTTCCAGAAAAGCAACAGCCTTATATTCACACTTCCTCTGTTCGTGTTATTATCAGCTGCTTACAGAAGAGGAGCTCCAGCGGTTTTTGGAGTTACGTTTAAACATCGCAGAGAGCCGCTCGGAGCACAGCTTCCACTGTCAGACTCCCAACTGTCGAGGCTGGTGCATCTATGAGGATGACATCAACGAGTTCAACTGCCCACTATGCAATGAAACCAACTGCATTCTCTGCCGAGTGAGTTTATTCACATTAACTAAATGTATTAAAGAGGAAACATAACTTTTCATAAATCATGTGATTTCTTTTAGGCCATCCATAATGGCATGAACTGCAAAGACTATCAGGATGACCTGCGCATCCGAGCTGAGAATGACAAAGCGGCCCAGCAAACCAAGCAGATGTTGGATGTACGTTATTACCAACGCTGAGTGTGATAACTGAAAATATATATCTAAAGTATTATTATCAGGTTGAGAAACACTAATAACTTTGTCCTGTTCATTTCTGTTCTTAAAAGTGGCACTGTGTAGTTTCCTGGCACTAGGGGGCAGTACATACGTTTCAGAGTCATTTTACACCATATCGTCATGACTGTCGCTGTTGTAAAAAAACATTACGGTAAACGTTATCTGTGGAGCAGAAAGCATGCAACCTCTGTGTGACTCCTTAGATGGTCCTTCAATTAATTATATTAAGAGAATGTAATCCCAAATCCAGATCGGTGTCCTGCACCTGTCGATGATGTCATCATACTACGGCAATACCACTCGGCCAAAATATCTTGCATCTCTTTTTCCATTTTGTTCTTTCACATCAGTTTTGGAACGAATTTAGCAGTTGTCTTGTTAAATTCATGCTTGTTACTTCCTAAATGGTTTTGAACATGGTAACATAACTTCTGTAAGTCGTACATGCAGAAAATAATCCAGTGTGACGTCATCAACAGGTGCAGAGGCCCGATCTGGCCAGACGGAAACATGGCATCTAATGTGACGTCCCCCAAAGATGCTAGACCCGCGCTGGGTATTTTAGTCCTGATTTTTATGCTAATAACAGAAGAACCTGGTCTACTGCTAATGTCCTTGTTGGACGAGAGGAAAACAACAGAGGATGTTGAAGCTTACGTAAAACCTTCCAGACTCTGAATGAATGCCAGAAAAATCTATAAGTTGCTGCTGAGTTAAGCCTGAGTCATGCTTCTGTGTCTGTGTCAGTGCAGAGACACGCAACGCCATTATCCGTTCTTGCGGGCCTGCTGGAGAGCCCCCGCAAAGATGGACGGAGTCGAGCTCTCTTTTCTAAACATCCGTCCGTCGAAACAGAGAATGCAAGCTTGTGATTGGTCAGGGCACCGCTGTCGTCTACACCGCCGCCATTGCACCCTCAAAAACATAAAGAGAGCCGAGGATAACTAGCAGCAGACATGGAGAAGCTTGAAGAATACCTCGCGAAAAAACTCTAAAAATATGAACGTTTGATTCCCCCGTGACTGGAGGAGCGAAACCATATGCAGCAAGCGTTTTATTTGTGGAAGGAAATTACAGGAAATGTGGGTTTAGAGGTGGCGAGCGCATGAAGAGGTGGAGGAGAATGAGAGACAAATTTGTCTTTGTTAAAAAGTCTCTTATATACAAAAAACACAATAAAAACACTATCTTGGACCAGATACATGATTGGATACCACAGAACAGCGCTACGCCCTCTGTTGTCTTGGCGGGGAATTGCTTTGAAACACTCCCCAGGAGACGGAGATGTATGAGGGCAAAATGTCTCCATCTGTGCGTGCCTCTCCCTTTTAGAGTTGATGGAGAAGCATGACTCAGGTTTTACACAGAGTTTCTAGCTTCAGGCAGCCATGGAGTCATGAGGTAAACCAGCCAATCACCATGTAGGTTGTCATTTATGTTCAGGCCAAGTGGGCAGGGCAAACCAGTTTTTCCACTATAGGGTATAATTATGTGGTTCTTTCTGGCTATTTATCAGGACTCCTGGGCCATTTGGGCCCCAACAAAGTTTCATATGTTTTATATATAGAGGTTCAAAGAACAGTTCACACCTGAAAAAAAATGTTTTAGGACCCCTTTAGGTACCCTTTTGTGATCAGATTTGATCTGATATTATTACAGTGTTAAATGAAAACAGTTCTATCACTTAATTGTTGCCTGTTAGGGACTTTTCCCCTACATCTCTTTATATTTTCTCTTCATCTTGCTGTAGAACTTGTTGCAGAATGGAGAGGCCATGAAATGCCCGCGGTGCGACATCATCGTTCAGAAAAAAGATGGCTGTGACTGGATCTGCTGTTTGATGTGTAAGACGGAGATCTGCTGGGTCACCAAACAAGCTCGATGGGGACCAGATGTAAATATGAAGCCAGGAACACACACTTTAGTGGATTATTTTCCCAAAAATATCTTCTGCTTGAGTTGAGCATCCAACCTTTTTTTTTATTATTATTGTTAACAGGGCCGTGGTGACACGTCCGGTGGCTGTAGGTGTCGAGTCAACAATCAGCCATGTCATCCCAATTGCCAAAACTGCCACTGAAGCGAGCGGACTACAAAAACACATATTTAGCTTCAACGACATGGACTATCTGGAACAGTTTGGATCAAATCTCAGGTTTAACACTGACAGCATTATAGGGTTTTTTTGGCAGGGGGTGTTGACAGAGTTCAGTATTACACCTTTTTTCCACTACAACAGATTATTCTGCAGACTGTCAATGGAGGGAAAAACTGAGAACTTCTGCTTTAATATTTTGTTTGGATGTGCAGTTTAAACGGGTATAATAAAATGTGTACATTTTAACAATTTTCCTAAAATATATCAAATATAATTTTTTACTAATTTATAGTTTTACAACACATAAGGTATCAATGAAGCTCCAGAACAACTGATCAATTAGTGAAATTTAAGCTGGAAGGATTTTAAAATTCTAATTTGTTGGGTATCGTTCATAATTATTAATTTGTGAATACACTGAAGAACCATTTACATTGTTTACATTAAATGCATGTTTTTGATGCACTTAATTGCTTAATCATTATGTATTTAATTAATTCTTGAGTCTTCATTCCTGTAAGGCTTTACGGATTAAATGTATTACTACAAAAAGATTTGAGGGTGTGTTTGGTCTCCTTTGCTTTCATCTCAGAAGCGCACATTAAAATGTGCTAATTAGCAATTGTAACGGTTGTGAGATTTAAAATAAACAAAGACTATTTTTGAAAATTTGGAAACAGATTGTTGACAAATCAAGGCTGGTTCGTTTTAGTCCTGTGTCTCAGCCAATAGATTATACTGATTTTGCATCATAGAAATTACTTTGGATTAAGAGATAATGCTGAAATATGCCTCATTTAAAAGTGTACATCCAATTCCATTATATATATATATATATATATATATATATATATATATATATATATATATATATATATATATATGCAAAGATTGCTTTTGTCATGAATAAAAATAAAGTATAATTACTAATATGACAAAAAAGAGAAAAAAGTGTCCTAAATGTAAACAGAATTAACATTTTGTAAATGATTAAATATATTAAACTTAATGTTTAGCTCAAAAACAAGACAAAAACTTTTTTACTCATTTATTAGCTTTCTATTTTACATCTTAACATTAGTATACACATTTTCTTATAACAAAATAAACAAAAAGCCAGATAAATCATTTAGTGCAATGAAAACAATTCCACAGCATGGTGCGTTTATTATACGAATACGTGATGCGATACAATAATGATCAATAGTGCAAGTCCTTCATATCAGGTCACCTTTATTAGCAAAAACCTTTGGAGACTATCAACCCTATAATTAGAAAATAAAAATGTGTTCAGTTGTCGATAAATTAAAACAGCATCTTGACACGACTGGTGATTTTAACTGAAGTGAGATCAGTTTATGATTTGTCCATTCAAACTCAGGACTTGAGGAAACTGATAAACCCAAAAATTGTTCAAGTGAGAAAGAAACCACTGATGAAATATCCAAATCCTAAATGTGACGACTAAAAACAAAAAAACATCCGACCCCTCAATTTACCAAATTAGAAAATATTTGTTGCTTTAATGTAAAATTTATACCAGTAATCTCTGAGTTGTGAAAGGAAGGCACCCTTCCATAGGACAGCTCCATAGGACACACACACACACACACACACACACACACACACACACACGTGCAACCAAACATTCAAGTAATTCAAAAGCTTTTGGTACGTCATTTTAATAAAAGTTCCAAGATTATGAAGGCAGGTTTCTAATATTTGGGGTAAATATCCAGATTTAACTTTTGAGATATATTAATGAATAAAATTTTACTTTGGTAACACCAATTCTCAGTTATTTTATATTTGATGAGTTCTTCTAAACTTTACCATGAAGCACAATTAAAATATAAAATCAAAGGCAACAAAATCTTGTAAATATGCTATATCCAAATAGATTCAGGTTCTGTCATTAAAAAAAAGTCAAACAGCATAAAAGTAAAGAAAAAAAGAGAATTAAACGATGACCCTAAAAGTGCCTGTGTGTTAAGTTGCTGTATACTGTAATTACACAACATACTTCAAAATCAACAAATGATAAATTATACAGAGGATTTTACAAAGCCTCGGTTTGGTCTCAGTACAGGTATCAAACAGGTAAATTGATTGAAATCACTCACACACACAAACACACACACACACACACACACACACACATGCGTTGGCAGAAGTTTCAAGTTAAGTGAGTCCACCAGGCACTCAGCATAAATCTCTGCAAGCAAAGCACTAAATCAGATATTTTATAACAAAATATAAATAAACTTAGATGACACTTTCAGTAAGTCCTTAGAAACAGTTTCTTCATTAGATTACAGAAAAATGAGACCCATCACCAGCTAATAAACCAGTGAACACTCAATAGGATCCATTAAAACAGAGCTGGGGCCTAATAGGTTGTACAAAAAGCAGAATGTTTAGACCTTGGTGAAGATGGAGCGTTATGTATGTTTAGTTACCACGTTCCAGACAGTGTTAAAGACTCAAAAAAATCATGAACAAACTGCAGTTCTTTTAAAGCAGACCCACCAGTTTGATTAGGTCAGTGACACAGGACTGGTGTGTTGCCCTTAAGGTAGTTCAAGGAAACAAGTCCAACTTTGGGGCCCATTCCAGAGCTGTATTAACCACAGCAAGCGCCGCCGCCCCGAGCGCCACAGTCAGGCCCATCACCGCTAATCTGACAAAACGCCGTGCCGTCGACGGTCGCTCCACTGCCACCACGGGGCTTGTCGACGAGCTCTCCAGTGCAGCCGGTTTCTGTTTACGTCTGCGACGCAGAACTGAGTCCGGCTGTAGTTGAGTGGATGCAAGTTCAAAGTCCTTAAAGGTAGAAGCCGCCGTGCTGGAGGGGTAAAGACAAGATGCAAAGAGTGTAGAAAGGAAAGTGAAAGTGTTAATGTAAGACCAGAAAGCAAAAAGGTTGTTGAGAGAAGGAAAAGAATACAGGGATAATGCTTTCTGTGTGTGTTAGGGAGGTGGATTAGGGCCACTAAAAAGAAAAATAACTGACTCTACTCTTAGAATTCTGACATTAATATCAGAATTCTGATGTTTTTCTCAAAAGTCAAAAAGTCAGGATCTGAAAAAAGTCCTTTTATGAAAAAAAAAGTGAATTCTGAGAAAGTCTGAATTCTGGGATTAAAGTCAGCAATAATTTTTTTTTCAGTGGCCATAATCCTCTTCCGTAGGGTACAGAGTAACATACATGAGCAGAAACTGAGCGTACCTAGCCACTACAGCAGAAAATCTGCTTTTACTCTAACAATATAAGTACCTTTCATGTGCTGCTGCCTCTCTAGCCAGTTCAGAGGGGGGAAACTGGACAAAAAGGTCTCCGGCTCGGCTAATTAGCATCTCATACGGCAGATCCTGGGGAATCTGAGACAGCAGGTGATGGACCATTGCCATGTCGCACTCGCACTCCAACACTTCCTCTTCTCTGTACAGCACAATCTGCACACAGCGCTATAAAAGCTTAATAAAACACACTTAAGAGTTTAATAAGAAGACCTACAAACATATTTTAATGAGTTATTCTGAAATCTATGAACAATTATAAAGAAACCTCACCACAGCTGCAAAGTAGATGGGCATCAATGGATGGCAGGCCAGGAAGAAGTCATACAACCGCACCACATGACGGAAGTCTGACAGCACATGGCCAAACCAGGTGATCAGCCAGCTGAGAGCAAAGACTGTTCCCACGTCAGCCCTAAAAAAATACATGAAAGACTTACAATGAGATCAGCCTATTGCATTCACCTCTATAGATATTGTAAATAATCTGAAATGATTAGATCTTTGAGGTATAAAATGAGACGAGGAACAGAAAGTGCAAGGCCGTCTATCGAGTTAGCGCTCCAAGTCAAGGACTCAATGACGTGCTGTTTACCGTCCTAACTTAATCTGTCATAATGGGATCAGCGTGCTGCTAAAGGGCAGAGAACTGTCACTTAAAACATAATCATCTTTCAGTTCCAGATTTTTAACACTTAGTCTTTTTAGTATAGAATATTGTTCATGACGAGGATTAGCAGTCAGCTACTCCCACTTTTCATTCAGTGTCCAGGTTTTCTTTCTTTGCCTGAAAGCAGAACCGATAAAACACACTTTGGAGGAGTTTTATATTTTTTGCAAAAGTTTCATGTCTTATTGAAACAATCCAGATGAGTTGAATTAGATCTGGCATGTATGTAAAATAGAGCCTTACTGCTGCATGAAGTCGTGCACATCAGGATTGACCCGTTCAATGATGGGCATCAGATAATTGAGGATGTGTTTTGTGTTGTCCATCGTGGGATCCATGAAGTCCCTGTAGAGGCAAAATAAAAAAAAGATGGGACACATTTTATCTTTGGCACGATAAAAGATGAGCAAATTTGTATTCAAGATAAAAACCTGAGGTGATGAGTGGAGAGCTTCTCTACAAGAACAGTGGCTAGGCGCTCTCCAACAACCAGCAAAAAGGTGACAACAATGTCGTGGTATCCTTGGTAGTAGTGTAGCTGGGGATTACGTTTTAGAACTCTGAGGATTATATCAATTAGCTCTTCCTGAAGACCCTCTCTCTGCTCATCTGGCATACCTGCACAAGTCCACAGGCAAGGAAATGATGAGGTTAGTATTTAAAGCTTTTGAGTGTGTGACTTTATCAATGTCTCCATGAATATAAAACATCAGAGATGTAAAAAAAAATAAACATTTTAAACTAGCTCAGTCACTATTTTACCAAAACTAATTGTTTAAAGTAAAAAAATATATAAATAAATAAAACATTTTGCTGTGGAAGACTACATACCAACTTAAAATGTGCTGTACACCAATCAGTACAATTGTAGTGGTCTCTAGTAAGAATGAATGAGCGAATGACTTTTGGAATCTTATTTCCTTATAATTGGACATCTGGCCTCTAATTGGCTAACAGCGACACGACTCTAACACTGACGCTGTTTGCTCTGCAATGTTGATGTTTTATCTCCACAAATGACACAAGCCTAGAAGAGTTCTGCTGTGTGGTGGAGTTGCTAATGCTAACAGTTAGCTTCTACTAGCCGAGACGTTCTCTGCTGTTTCCGGGATGCTAAGCCAACAACAGCCTTCCCTGTTGGGAGTCAAGATGGGTGAGTCCATGAAAGTTAAAGGGAGACTAGGCAGTTTTGGCTTGCTTTAAGCAAGTGTCTGTTTATAGAAACCGGAAGCAAAGCCCATCTCCTTGCTGTGCATTCGTCTTTTTAACGCCTTAATCTAACAGCTGAGATGTCTCCCCAGCCTTCCTTAGTGTCTACAGGAGTGATTCATCACTAAATTAAACAAACCAGCTGTGTTCATGATCCAAAACATGCAGGAAAAGAGCTGGAGCCAGACTGTAGCACCAGGTATGTCAGCTCAATTCTTTTCTAAGTCCCAACAGACCGGACTGGCAACTCTGAAGTTACAAGTGGAATGTTCCTGCCACAGGGGGTTATAGGGGCTACAAGGCCTTTCATTAACCGTGTAAATGTCCATTTTAGCACATACTGGCTCAAGAAAATTATTTAAAAATATGAAAAAGTTGCAAAGTATCCCTTTAGGTAACAGTGTGACATAGATCTGTCAGGCTTTTCAAATCCTAGAGTTTCACCATCTATTTTTTATCAGAAGCTAATGCTGGAGATAGGTGTAGGAGACTATTTTCATGTTCAGCCTGCATGAAAAACCCAAAGGTATTGATCATTTTCAAAAATAATGAGTAAAAAATGGTTTCTCAATGAACCTGATCTTTAAAACTCCGTTTCAAGCTGTAGTCATCATTCAGCAGACTCCTCCAAGCCAAAACTACCAGAACTAACAAATGATTTCAAAATAAGTTGTTGTCTCAAAAACATAACCAACCCTACATCTTACATTTAAAGGTATATTTATTTAAAAATCAGCACTGAATGTGTTCTTTCACAGTACGTCAAAGTTGTAGTGGAAGTTGGCACAAAATATAACTACCAAGGCATCAGTATTTGCACAAGCTCCACTATGTAGTCATTTCACCTCTGGCCAGAAAGAAAGCAACTACTTACGGCAACAAACTTTTCACAGTGATACTTGTGAAATAAGCTAGAAGAAATTTAAGTGGTGCTAAGGAGTAAAATGTGGCTGACAATCTGAATAAATAAATGAATAAATAAAACATTTAAGAATTACGTCTTAGAAGCAAGTTGACAAAAATATCCTTCAAATTAATTAATAAAACCAAATCTCTTCTCAGATTGTATGGACTCTTCTTTGACAAAGGTGTGGGAGGTATCCTGCACAAAATGTAATAGTGAATCATCATGCAAAGTCTAAAATTTTGTAAAGACAGCTGTTTTTATTTGGAAAAACTTAGAGTACACACAGTAAGTAGTTAACTTTCCTCACTGAGACAACTCACCAGGTGGAAATCTTCGTAGTGAACGCTGGACATCCAGCAGGACCTGGTTGCTGTCCTTATTGTTTTCCCGTTCCACCTTTTCTGCACCAGACACATAATCAAGAGTAAATACTGAAAAGCTTGCACCTGTTAAAAGCTCTGATGGCAATTACATGACATGCACAGGAGTGTTGAGTGGAACTGCATTAGACTACTCTGCGTTTGTCAGACCTAGAAAAGGGATCACAGCAGGATTTAGGCCCTCTTCTAGAAGGACCCATACACACAAACAGCTTTTAAACTGAATGCTTTTACAGTAAAGACCAATAAGATCTGGAACACTCCCCATAAGAGAGTGATCAACATTATAAGCCTTCAAAAGTCATCTCAAACATTGGCTGAAAGCAAATTGGTCATCTAACCATTAACCTTTGATCTGTTACTAGTGTATAAAATGTAATGTGCATTTCTTATGATGTAATTACTCCCCTCTTCTATGTCCTAGATTTTTTGTGTGACCTGCTTTGGGACTGCAGATGTAAACTAGCATCCTGCTTTATTCCAGCATATTTATATTGATTGAACGGATGTTCATCAGTGTGCACAGCTCCTACCAAACGAATGAATGAATATTCGGGGTATAAAAGTGAGTATAGGTCACATAAACGGTACCAGGCTCTTGATCCAGGAGGTGTGGAGGAACGTTGAGGAGCCTGGGCCAGACCTGACAGCGGATTTCATCAGTCAGAAGTCCTCCTTCACTGATAGCCATCCTCCTTAAAGTTGCTACATCCACTGGCTCCACACTAAGGGCCTGTGTGATGTCTGCGATTTTCCGTTTCCGCCTGGTGTCCCAGTCTACAGGAGAAAGAGGTGTTTAGTTTGCTCGTGTGCCGACTTTTAAATTACAAGTTATGTTGCTAGTGTTTGTGAGTGGTACGAAAGCCGCGTTAAACATTGACTCTTAACTACAACTCATATTTGCTTCTGTAAAAAAAAACACATGACAATCATAATAGTCAGCCTGGGAATTTAAATGTCACACTTTACCTTGCCTTCCATTCATCGGCGACGGTGCGCCATCTCTTCGAGTTGTCTTCATTTTACTCCTCTTTTTCTTGATTAGCCTTTGTTAGAAAGTATTTCTTGCCATCCTTCTTTGCCGGGTAACCCCACTTTAGGTTTCCGTGGCTGCCAACGAGCCAAACGCTAGCTAGCTATCAAATTAGCAACCTTTGAAACACGTCTTGACCGTTGATTTGCTTTTAGCTAGTTAGCAAGCGAACACCGCACTGCCTTGGGTTTAACGGCGATCTCATGTAAAAGATCCATTATTGTCTGACCCCCTGATTCCCGACCGAGCAGCAAAAAGGTCAAATTTTAAAATCCGTTCCATGTTTACATCGGCGGAGGAAGGGAGTGATACATTAGCTTCCCAGCTATTAGGCTAAATGATGACGTAATGCTCAGCTGAGGAGTGGAAGAGGGGGAGGAGCTAATGTTCCAGGGGCGAAGATAATATTATTTTCCTCATCACATAAAATTTGAATAATATTTTTGCTTATTAACATATCCTACTTGTAGGAAAATATAATATATAAAATTTTATATTTACTCCTCAAAACATTGTGTGAAAACAAGCCATCCTCCTCATGTACCCTGTTCTGAATGTGAATATTTGCAATTTAATTTCCTCAAGAAATACAAATGTTTTAGATAGACGATCAAAGACATTCGTGCTTTTATGTTATTGTCATATTCTAAAATGTCCTGTCTACTTGTAGGATATTAAATTTATTTTACATATGTCCGATTGTCCCACAATGTAATTTTTGAGTTTATCCATGTTTTCACAAACACAGCCTGGCCAAAAAAAAAAAAAAATCACTAATATCTTGTTGGACTGTCTATAGCTTTGATTACGGCACATATTCGCTGTGGCAATGCTTCAATAAGCTTCTGTGATGTTACAAGATTTATTTCCATCCAGTGTTTGCCATCGCAGAGTCCAGACCTGAACCCCATTGAGAATCTTTGTGCTGGAGAAGGCTTTGTGCAACGGTCAGACTCTACCATCATCAGTGCAAGATCTTGGTGAGAGCAAGATCTTGCACTGATGATGGTAGAGTGTGATCACTGCACAACGCCTTCTCCAGCAGATCCCAAAGATTCTTAATGGGGTTAAGGTCTGGACTCTGCGGTGGCCAATCCATGTGCGAAAATAATGTCTTGTGCTTCCTGAACCACTCTTTCACTATCTAACCTCGATTAATCCTGGCCAAGCTGGCATTGTCATCTTGGAATATGCCCGTGCCATCGGGGAAGATGGAATAACCTAGTCATTCAGTATATTCAGGTGGAAAACTGACCTCATTCTTGGAGCACATTATGCTGCTGAACCTAGACCTGACCAACTGCAGCAACCCCAGATCATAGCACATTTCAAACACAGGGGCAATCCAATGTGCTTTACAATTAGCATGAAATGGCACAACAATAAACATGAGAAAACAAATAAAAAAATATACACAGATAAAATTATAATTTAGAGCTAAAAGGAAAAGACACCAACACATTTCAGCGTAAAATCCCTGGCCCGCTGGACCCCATGGAGTGGTGCTTGCCATGCCATTGTTGTGCAAACACACCATTTTCATGTAGACCCACTGGCACATTTACATTTGACTGCTGGCTTTACTGTGATAGGTAGGTGGGGGTTGGGATGTTTTCGGCTGTTATTCTGAAACCAAAGACAGACACCAACACATGTCAGCGTAAAATCCCTGGCCCGCTCGACCCCATGGAGTGGTGCTTGCCATGCCATTGTTGTGCAAACACACCAATTTCATGTAGACCCACTGGCACATTTACATTTGACTGCTAGCTTTACTGTGATAGGGAGGTGGGGGTTGGGATGTTTTCGGTTGTTATTCTGAAACCAGAGGCTTGACTTTGCTCAAGCAACACAAACTCAAAAAGGGTTGTTCTAACAAAAAAGGGTACAACAGAGGTCACTGACTTTCACTTGGACATTTGGTAGTTATACGAACACACACACACACACACACACACACACACACACACACACACACACACACACACACACACACACACACACACACACACACACACACACACACACACACACACACACACACACACACACACACATTATATTGTCCTGGCAGGGAATTGCTTTGCAACACTCCCCAGGAGACGGAGAAGTATGAGGGCAAAATGTCTCAGTCCATGCGTGCGTGTCTCTTCCTGTTGGAGCTGATGGAGAACCATGAATCGGGCTTTAGTCGCATTCACCATATCTGTCAGTAGCCACAGCTGTGAACACTCTTTTAGTGCCCTGCATCATCTTCACACGTGACTGAGGAGAACCATGGTACAAAAGAGGCTAAATGATTTGGCTATACTGTCACTGAAAATGGTTTCTTGCATAAAATTCACCCTGAAGTTTGCAAAATGCAAGCATCAAAGAAACTCTCATGTTGCCATAATAAAGAGGGTTACCAGTGTAGTGAAGGTTCAGCTATACCATCCTCTTGTTTTGATTCTGGTCTAGCCCTTGAAGTCCTGATTTTGCACCATTAACGTTTCAGTATTGGTGTTTGATATGTCTTCTATACATCTGTGATAGTGTACCTTATAAATCTCATTGCATTCATATTGTTGTTGAATAAGTCTTGGTTTGCTCAGCACATTTTTTCTGTCATTTTTCCTCAATGAAAAGGGGCATCGGCTCTGCATGGTCTTGATATCATATAGAGTTTCTACATTAGCATAGTCTGCCTTTTTCAGGGTGCAACTGGACTGTTTTTCAGCCCTTTTCATGAGGTGGTCTGCTTCAGGCTGACCAGGACCAACACACCCACTGCTGCTAAAATTCACACCTTCCATTAGGGGAAGCCTCAGATTGGTGGGTGGCAGTGTTGCCAGATCCAAAATCCCACAATATCGCACAGAGAGGCTTAAATTATCGTTTTTCAGTACAAATTATCGTTCATTATAAATTTGATAATAACGTTCTATAAACAACTTCTCACTCCAATATAATATAACAAAGAAGGTGTTTTATATTGCCCTGTTTAATCCGTCCCCTCTCTGGTTTTTCTTTTAAGATTAGAAGCTATTGTCTCGTCGCTCTGTCCTCCTAGCTTAGACTTAACTCGGCGTGCTCGCGGGAAAACAGCAAAAACTGGCGGGCCACTGCCACATTATATAACCTTACAGTTTCTCGCGAGAGTAGGCCCTATCGATGTGATTGGGCTATTTATTGTACAGACCCAGAGTCAGTTTTTGTAATAGACACAATAGCATAAACCTGTAAGGACTGAGGTGAAATCTGACTTCAGAACAGTTTAAAATTATGTAATGGACTTGGGAAAGCCACAGCAAAAGACGGTGTTACTAGTTGCAATGTGAAATTATTGTACATTTGAGGATTTTTGAAACTATTGATCGTACATCGTACAGAGCCCAAAATTATGGTACAAATACGATAATTATTGTACATCTGGCAACACTGGTGGGTGGAATCAGCCCACTTGGGTTTATGGTATCATCATGCTGATTACCTAGGAGCTGAGAACTTCTCTGACTGCATTCCTTACATTCCTAAGCAAGAAGAAGAAGAAGAAGAAAGTATCATTTCTATAGCGCCTCTCAGGATAAAAATCATGGGGCGCTTCACAAAAAATGTAAAAATATAAAAAATAATTTAGAAAATGGTTAAAAATATATTTAAAATTAGCAAAAAATAGACAATTGTGATTAAAAATGTTAAGAAAGAGAGAGAGTGAACAGGAAAGAGGGAAATCAGTGGATCTTGAGGAAGGTGGAATAGGTGGGAAGAACAGAATAAAGAGAGAGTGGTGAAGAAGGTCATACAAAAGCCAGCTTGAACAAGTGAGTCTTCAGCTGCTTTTTAAAGGAGACCACTGAGTCCACTGATCTCAGGCTCAGGGGGAGAGTTCCAGAGTCTGGGGGCCACAGCAGCAAATGATCTGTCACCTTTGGTCTTTAGCCTGCACAACCAGTAGGCTTTGATCACTGGACCTCAGGGACCTGCTGGGGGTGTAGGGACTAAGAAGATCACCAATGTAAGATGGTGATTGTCCATGTAAAGCCTGATTCATGCTTCTCCGTCAGCTCCGCAAAGGACAGACACTCACGGATTGACGGAAGCGTTTTGCTCTCATGCTTCTCCGTCTCCTGGGGAGTGTTGCAAAACAGTTCCCCGGCAGGACAGCAGAGGGTGTAGCGCTGTTCTGTGGTATCCTGCCATGTATCGTCCAAGATAGTGTGTTTATATTGTGTTTTTTTGCATGTAAGAGACTTTTTAACACAGACAAATTTGTCTCTCATCCTCCTCCACCTCTTCATGCGCTCCCCACCTCTAAACCCATGTTTCCTGTCATTTCTGTCCACAAATAAAATGCTTGCTGCGCATCCTTTCACTCCTCCAGTCATGGGGGAATTAAACGTTCATGTTTTTAGGTTTTTTCGCAAGGTATTCTTCAAGCTGCTCCGTGTCTGCCGCTTGTTATCTTTGGCTCTCTTTATGTTTTTGAGGGCGCAATGCTGACGGTGTAGACAACAGCGGTGTCCTGACCAATCACAAGCTTGCATTGTCTGTCTCGACTGACGGGACAGGACAGAATGGGACTCAGCTTCGCAATGTTCCTGAGATGGAAGAAGGAAGAGCGAACAAGAGAACTGACATGAGAATCCAGGGTGAGAGCTGGGTCAAAGGCCACGCCAAGATTCCTGACAGAAGGTTTGGTGTGATAAGCAAGCTGACCAAGAGAGTCTCTGACTTTGGGAACCAGCTTGTCTGGGGGCATAGATGAGGATCTCAGTCTTATCTTCATTCAGCTGTAGAAAGCTCCCAGCCATCCAGGTTTTGATAGAGTCTAAGCAGGTGTGTAACAGCTGCAGCTTAGACATCTCATGGGGCTTAAAGGAGATGTACAGTTGGATGTCATCTGCATAAAGATGGTAGGAGATTCCTTTGAAGGAGCTCAGGATGTGCTGAAGAGGGAGCAGATAGAGGAGGAAGAGCAGAGGCCCCAGCACAGAACCTTGTGGGACACCATGGGTAAGGGAGGTGGTGGAGGACCTAAACTTGGAGACGGCCACAGAAAAGGAGCGCTCAGAGAGATAAGAGGAGAACCACTCCAGAGCAGTTCCTGATAGGCCTACCCAGTTTCTCAACCTCTCCAGTAGCAGGTGATGGTCAACAGTGTCAAAGGCTGCAGTCAGGTCCAGCAGGACCAGAACAGAACAGTCCCCTGCATCACTGTGAGTCAGAAGGTCATTAGAGACCCTAAGAAGAGCTGTTTCAGCAGAATGAGCTCTACGAAAACCTGACTGGAAGCTATCATAGATGTTATGTTCATCAAGAGCAGCTGTGAGTTGTTTAGCCACAACCTTTTCCAAGATCTTGGAGATGAACGGAAGTTTAGAGATTTGTCTGAAGCTGCTATGGAGAGAGGGGTCGAGACTCGTTTTTTTAAGAAGCGGGTGGATTACAGCATTCTTAAAGTAAGCAGGGACCTGACCAGAAACCAGAGAAGAATTAATAATGGAGAGCACGCTGAGACCGATGGACTGAAAAGCACTTTTAAACAAAGATGAGGGTAAGATGTCGAGGGGGCATGCAGAGGTCTTCATAGAGTTAACTAGTTTGGTTAACTCAGGCAAAGAAACCGGAGCAAAGCTATCTAGGATGATGGGCCTGGTTGGAGTCGGGAGAGGCAGCGATAAGGCTGAAGGAGAGATGCTCGATCTGACCTTATTGACTTTGTCCACAAAGAAAGACAGAAAGTTCTCACAGTCTGTAACAGAGTGGATGGAGGCTGTAGGAGAGGCAGGAGAAACAATACTGCTGATGGTGTTAAACAGCACTTGGGGTTCCCTTTGCTCTGGGACACCAGGTTGAAAAACTAGGAAACCCTAGCGTCTCTGACTGCGGAGTTAAAGGATGTCAGAAGATCCTTTAGGTGCAGCAGATGGACGTGGAGATGGGTTTTCTTTCACAAACGCTCACATTTTCTGCATTGGCGCTTCAGGCTGTGAAGGCTGTCATTAAACCAGGGAGTAGGGTTCACTGCAGGAACTGATCTGGTTCTGACAGGACAGATGTTGTCCAGAATGGAGAGACAGTGCTCGTTAAACTGAGAAATTAAGAAATCTGGGTCGTTATCAGAAGAACAGGGTGGATCAAACGCAGCAGAAAAATTGCTAGCTGTGCTCTCATTAAGAAAACGAGAACTAACCAGACGGCGAGCAGGAGGTGGGGATGCAGAAACTGACAAGTTAAAGAAAATGCAATGGTGATCTGAAATGTAAATGTCCTGAGGACAAACACTGTCAGCATTTAGACTCAGGGTAAAAACAAGGTCCAGAGTGTGGAATGAACTGGGCCAGGCTGAGGCTATCGGGCAATGTGGAGGCGATGCTAGTGTCAAAGGGGCAATATTGACCCCTTGGAAAATTTGGCGGAGATCCGTCCCAGTTCCACTGGGCTGCCAACATTTGAAGTTTTCAATGCGTGTGAGGGGGGTAGTGGCTTTGATGGGGGAGTGAAGAAGCCTACGTACCCCCTTGTCCCCCGGAACGGGGTGGGGGGTGGGGGGTGGTGCTTTCACTTCCCTCTCCTGTCCGTGGGAGGTTTGCTTTTACTGGTTGGGACCCGGGACTTGGAGGTGTAACGTGAGGCTGAAAGCTCAGATGCGTGTCTCCCGCTCAGTGCGTATACGTTTGCAGCCCTGTAGCCAGCAGCCGCAGCCAGCAGTTTTGAGTTGTAAACGGATCTTTTACCAAGTGAGTATAATTAAATATTATGTTTTTTTGAGCGCTGTGATGTTTGAAGTGAGTGAAGCGTGTATGTTGAAGTTTATTGCACTCTTGTTCAGCTTCTTGTGCAGGAACTAGTATTGTTTCTGCTCACCTTGTTGTTAAACTAAAAACTTATTTTCTGTAAGAGTTTTCTATAATACAATAATAAACCCTGGTGTTTACCATTTGAATATGATGGAAAACAAGTTGGCAAAGCATACACAACAAGTAACGAAAAGCAATCTATCTTGTCAATATTTTGGACGAGAGATAGCAGAAACAGTTAGAAGAAGGTCGTGCAGATGGCATATCCTGGCCTTTGCTTTGTAATCTTTCGTTGGAAAGCCAATTGGGTATGGCAATTCAAAGGGATAAAAAATTTTGCATGTTCTAAACGCGTTTTATGTCCCCCAACACGCGCGTTCAAGACTCGCGTAATGGCTGCCAAAACCGGAATGAAAAGTCAATGGTGGTGAAACAAATACTAAGCAGAAAGTAATAAAACAGAAAGACATAAAAACATAAAAGCTGCTTCGGTAGATAAACAAGGAAAGTAAAACAAAAAAGCCCTAATACAGTACTAAACGGTTTAAAGGGTTTATATATATATATATATATATATATATATATATATATATATATATATATATATATATATATATATATATATATATATACATATATATATATATATATATACATATATATATACACTGCGATGGACTGGCTCTCTGTTCAGGGTGTACCTCGCCTGCTTGCCCGTTGACTTGCTTGAGATGGGCACCAGCGCCCCCCGACCCTGCGTGGACAAAACGGGTTCAGAAGATGGATGGATATATATAATAATAATAATAATAATAATACATTTTATTTAAAAGCGCCTTTCAGGACACCCAAGGTCACTTTACACAAAACACGTAATAAAGTACAATAAAACAATAATAAAACCCAAAGAAGAAAAAAGAAAGAGAGAAACAGTTCAATAAAATCAGAGGTTGTAGGCAGATTTAAACATGTGTGTTTTGAGTTTTGTTTTGAAAAGGGTAAAACTGTCGATGTTCCTGATGTCGGTGTGAAGTGCGTTCCAGAGTCGAGGAGCAGAGCGGCTGAAAGCTCTGCTCCCCATGGTAGCGAGATGGGCAGAAGGAACCGCAAGATGGATGGAAGAAGAAGATCTGAGTGAACGGGATGGGGTGTGAATACTTATAAGGTCTGAGATATATGGAGGAGAGAGGTTGTGGATTGCTTTGAAGGTATGGAGGAGAATTTTGAAGATGGACCTGAATTTAACTGGGAGCCAGTGAAGCTGCTGGAGAACCGGGGTGATGTGGTGAAAGGAAGGGGTACATATATATATATATATATATATATATATATATATATATATATATATATATATATATATATATATATATATATATATATATATATATAATATGTGTGTGTGTATGTGTCTGCGTGTGTGTGTGTGTGTATTGTATTTTTAGATAGAATTTCCATGTAGTGTCTCCTCCAGGAAGAAACATATTGCAAACACAAGTTAATATAATGTGCAGCAATACTGTTTGTGCCAGTTGGAGTTTAATATTGTTGCCCTTGGAAATAAACGGTCACCATATTAGTTAGTTCTGGCTTGTAGTGATCTGTAGCCAGTTTTGTTGATGATCAGTCGACTAATCATGTCATTCATAAAGGTTTAGCTTATTGCATCAGGATGCTCTAATATACCCACCATCAGCTTCTAGTTTGAAATGTGATCACCTATGTGCCATCTAATAAAGACAAGATGATAGCTAATCAAACACCTTTTAATTAACTTTGTAACTTGTTAATATAAATGCTACAGCCAAAAATAACCTCCATGTTTACAAGGAGCTGGAAGTTACAAGGTCTCATGAAGAAGATGAGACTTTTACTATTTTAATAAAATTATTCTTATTTTGATGTCATAAAAGGATTTCTTTCAATCTATATGTTGTTTACAATCATATTCTGTTATCTACAATGATTTTTCTATCTAAAGTGATTTAATAATTAAGTAATCAGCATAAGTGTTTATTATTTCATGATTTATTTCAGATTAAATACACTAAATAGGTCTACTTGAGAATTTAATATGATTTTTTATCAGTTACATAATATCAGTATTAAAAAATTATTTTTTTAAACAATTTTACTTCACATTAAATGAAATCAGACTCTGCTAAGTGCCTGAGGAATGTGTGACACCTGAGGGTCTTGGTAAACACCTGTTCAAATTTCTCAAATCTGGTTGGTCAAAGTTTATAAACAATCACGTGTTAAAAGTGATCTCACTTCCTATTTTCCCCAGTTTGCCAGAGCTCCGAGTTCAATCAAAGTTCACATCTCATGCTAAATCAACCAGATTTTTCAGTGGAATAATTGTAGCAGCATAAAGAACCATCCTTTTTTAAATATCAACCATTTATTATTTGCTCAATCCACCACCAACTAATTAGATGTAAAACCTTCTGCCAGAAGCCACCTGGGAAGTATCTTTTGACCAGTAGTGCGTATTCTGAGGGGATCTGCGACCTTCAGCTCATTCACTCGCTCAGCCGAAACGACTTCGCTTGCAGATCGGAACTTCCACTATCCTGGTGCGTAGGCTTTCAATGGCATCAAAGTGGTTGATATTGATTTGATCACTTGTTAAATTACATCCAACAAACAGCCAAATAAATGTTATAAACCCAAACATCACGCCTTTCTGAGTCACTTAGTGAAGCTCTTAAAACATACAAGGTCATGTTTCATCAGAATTCATTCATTGTCTCATTTAATATCACTTTGAATCACCCTTTATAATATTTTGCCTTTCATTATCATTGATAATAGAAATATAGTAATAAATATATTTTTATAAACTGTTTTTGCCTCTGTGTCAAATTATTATAAAGTGTTGTTTCCCTGGCGTTATGCAAATTACCATTTTTCGTCATCAATCGAATATTAAAGGCTAGCACAGACGAGCGAAGCAACCAGAGCTTCCCAGGTCTGTTCCCTCTGCAGTTGTCCACACCGAAAGCTGGCTATTTCCAGAATTCAGCCCTCGAAACAGAGCTTTGTTACACCACACAGCTGGGCGCTGAAAGACGATCTCACTCTTGCTCATGCATGCTCACCAGTGGCAGCCAGGGGTGGATTGGCCTTCTGGTGTACCGGGCACTTCCTGGTAGGCTGTTGTTCAAAGTGGGCCGGTCTTATATAATAATAAAAATAACAATAATAATACTAATTATTATTATTATTATTGTTTAAAACAGCATAGTTAAATTTCTCTGTTGTATTACTGCCACCTACTGGCCAAGATGAACAGATGAGATGAGCTCATCAACAAGATGAGCATTGAACAGATTGAGACACACAGAGTACTGCAGTTGCTCCTAAAGGCTCACACAGTAGGCTTGTGTATTCATTATTACATTTATAGTCAACTTTTTCTGTAGATTTGAGAACTGACTTTCTCTAAGACTGCTTATTTGGAGGAGGTAATTTAATGGTTGTTTGGAATATATTTACCCTAACAGTTCATTATAATACTTATTATGGACTAAGACAGAATATTTTTTACATATAGCCTCCCAAGAATTTTTTCACCAGCTGCCGCTGATGCTCGAACTTGTTCATTAGACACCAGATGACATGCAAACTTGTCATGAACTCACCAGAGAACATCCAAAAAATGAATTTAAAACCTGTACCACTGAGTTACTGAGATGCACTAGGACAGTTTGCCACATTCTTTCTAAATATGGTTTATATTTATTGTTTTTTTTTTATAGAAAATGCAAGGGAATGTGGAGGAATTTAAGAACTTCCACACCATGCTTGTGAAACTGGCTTCACAGGTCTCCACTGAGATTGCAGACATTGTTAATGCTCTGCTTGCAGACCTGCTGGTGAGTTTCCAGAAAAAAACATCTGATTCTCTTATGCATGCAATCCTTTTTATGAAATCTCACATTAACGTTTCTTTTATCAAACAGCAAAGGAAACAACACCGTAACACTCACAGACTTCTGTGTTTTTGTATTGATTATTTCCATCCTGTTGGTGGCAGCATGAAACCTTTTCCAAATGTATTTTATGTCCTACATTTTCAGCTCATACACATTTACACAGGGTTATGGTCTTAATTGCTTATCTTTCTGTTCTAATCTTTTTATTTTTACCTGACAGGATGCCAAGATTGAACCCGAGGAGTTTGCCAGCCGAATGCACACTGGCCTCATGACACCCCTTCATCCTCGACATGTGCTGATTATCAAGGTGGTATTTCTGTTTCTGTACCTTTACTGAGAAACTTTAGGTTACTGTCGTAACCCCGGTTCTCTGAGTAACATGAGTGAGATGTCTCACTATGGGATACGCCCCTCCGCAGATTCCTCAGAAGCACTTATCTCAATACGCCAATCCTGATTGGCCAGTGACCGTGACGTACGCGTCACCTGCTACTATGAGTAGCAAGCGTCCCAACGCATGCACCATTCAAGATAAACACCTCTTCTCGCTTCGCCCAGCAAGAAGGGTTGTCTGGTGAGACATCTCACTCATGTTACTCAGAGAACCGGGGTTACGATAGTAACCTAAAGTTCTCTTTCTTAACATTTGTTTCGATGTCTCACTATGGGATATGGAGACTCCCGTATTGCCAGACAGCTTATCCAGCAATCACCAACCTACAGGGGTACGTCTTGGCCCGCCAAAGACCCCACACTCAGAATCGTGTGAGTCATTGCAGGGACCAAAACGTCAAGCTTATAGAAGCGTGCAAATGCAAGTGGAGAAGCCCAACTTGCTGCAGCACAAAGCTCCTGGACGGATGGCCCCCGAAAAAGGGCCCAAGAAGCAGAAAGACCCCTAGTAGAATGGGCCCAGAGCCCTACAGGTGCCTGAATGCCCTGACAGGAGTAAGCCAGAGAAATAGCCTCAACAATCCAGTGGGAAAGCCGCTGCTTTGTGATGGGTTTCCCCTTACGAGGCCCACCCCATGACACAAAAAGCTGGTCCCCCCTGCGAAGGTTCTTTGTCCGATTCACATACTCCTTGAGCGCGCGAATCGGACACAGCTTGTGCCACCGCTCCTCCTCAGGAGAGGAGAAGGGTGGCGGGTAGAAAGCTGTGAGGAGAATAGGAGAAAAGGAGCCCACTACCTTAGGCACAAAGGCAGGGTTGGGCTTCAAGGACACCTTCATGTCACCTGGTGCAAACTGGGTGCAGGATGGGTGCACAGAGAGAGCCTGTAAGTCACTTACTCGCTTTGCAGATATCAAAGCCAGGAGTAGCACCACCTTAAGAGACAGGATCTTAAGGTCCAGGCCGTTCATAGTCTCAAATGGAGGCCCGGAGAGGGCCGACAGCACCAAAGACAGATCCCATGAGGGCACCAAGGGTCGAGACACAGGGAGAAGCCTGTGCGCGCCCCTCATGAAGCTACACACCAGGAGGTGTTGCTACCAATTTCTTCCCAAAACCCTAGTGTCGGGCAGAAATGGCTGCTAGGTACACTTTAATGGTAGAGAAAGCCTTCTTCCCATCCAGCAAGTCTTGCAGGAAAGACAGAATGACATTCACAGGGCATTGGGAGGGTGAGACATCCCTGCCCTGACGCCAGGCATCAAACACCCTCCATTTACAGTCATATAGGGAGCTAGTGGAGGGGGTCCTGGCATTCTGAATGGTTCGAATGACCGCCCTGGGCAACTCTGCTGACCCTAACCCGCACCCCTCAGGGCCCAGGCCCACAGGGCTAGTCCTTCTGGATGAGGATGGAAGATTGAGCCTCCAGCTTGGGACACTAGGTCCCTGCGAAGCGGCAGTTTCCAAGGTTGGCCCTCCAGGAGCTGGAAAATGTCCACCACCCAATGCATGGCTGGCCAGTATGGGGCCACCAGAATGAGAGTGTGGTGCCGAGTTCATACCCTCAGCAAGGTGGGTGGTATCAGGGCCACTGGGGGAAAAGCGTAAAGCAGTGCCCGTGGCCAGTCGTCCACCAGCGCGTCCACGCCGAGTGGAGCATCTTGGAGAAAAACAGTGCTCACTGAGCATTCTCCTTGGAGGCAAAAACCCCACTACGGCTGTGCCGAACCGGATCCAAATCTGTTCAAACACTGCTGGATGCAGGCTCCAGTCCCCGTACAGGGGAGTCCCTCTGGACAACAGATCCGCCCCCCGATTCAGAACACCCGGGACATGGGTGTCTCTGATTGAAAGGAGATGTCTGCTGCACCATAGGATCAGTCTGCGTGCCAGCGTGTGTAACCGCATGGAGCGCAGCCCCCCCTGGTGGTATATATAAGCCACAGTCGTGGTGTTGTCTGTTCTCACTAGGACATGATGGCTGGAGAGAAAAGGCAGGAAGCACCTCAGGGCTAGAAAGACCACAAGGAGTTCCAGATACTTTCTGTGTGTCCCCACTGAAATAGCCATGAGACCCAAAAGACTGAGGCACAACGCAAACCACACCAAACTATGTAGGCGGAAGCGCGCCAGGCAGAACGAGAGTGCGTTCACGCGTGGTGCCGAGAGACGGGCTGTGAACTTCCCTGAGTCCAGATTTAGACCTAGAAAGGTTATTTTCTGGGAGGGAGTAAAATGCTTTTGCCAGTTTATTCTGAAACCCAGACCACACAAGTGATGGATCACAACCAGGGTGTTCGACGTTTCCTCCTCTCTGGACCGTGCCAGCAGGAGCCAGTTGTCGTCCAGTAAGTACGTGGCCAGCCGAATGCCCCTCTCTCTCAGAGGGGCGACCGCCGCCTCTGTACACCTGACAAACACCCTCGGGCTCAGCGAGAGGCCGAAAGGGAGCACGGTGTATTCGTAACACACTCCCTGAAAGGCAAACCTCAGAAATTTCCTGTGTGGAGGGTACACGGGAACATGAAAGTATGCGTCCCTCGGGTCGACTGAGGTGAACCAGTCGTTCTGGTGAAGCAGACACAAAAGGGATGAGAGCGTGAGCATTTTGAATTTGTACTTTCTGAAGCATCGGTTCAGGGCCCTCAGATCCAGGATCGGGCGAATACCGGTCCCTCCCCGTTTCAGGACCAGGAAGTACCTGGAGTAGAAACCGCTCTGAGACCGATCGGGAGGCACAATGCATATCGCTCCCTTCTCTAGCAGGGAGGAGATTTCTCCCTGAAGGATGTGAGCTGATGTCCCCTGGGCGTGGGAGAACACTACGCCGGAGAATCGAGGAGGAACTGAAGCGAATTGGAGCCTGTAACCTCTCGAAATAGTTCTTAGCACCCAATGTGAAGCAGAAACTGCTGTCCATTCCTCTATGTGAGTGGAGAGCGGTGACACACGGAGCAGCAGCTGCCTCCAGAGGCTGTGGGGCAGCGGTGCTTGTGGCAACTACAGCACATGCGTGGGGGCTTTGTGCTTTGGCGGCCCTGGCATACGGGGACGACCCGTGGCTGGCGGGAAAGTCCGCCAGGGGCCGCCCCAGCCTGGTTTCGCTCATCTGCATCATTTTTATTGATTTTTGTTGCGCCCTCGACATTCTGTCTGGATGCGGCAGCAAAACTTTTTTATGCTTCTTGAGCGTGACATGTTTGTGAAAAACAATGTGAGTGCTTGTGACTTGTGTTTTGAGCCGGCACAGCCGGTTGCACGTCCTGGCCCCACCCTGAACCGATCAGGGACTCTGCCGGGAGGGTCTGGTGAGGAGGGGAGAAAGCACCATGGTAACACTGAACAGATGGAGCGAGCGAATGGGGAACTGCCAGCTGCAGCGTCGGGAGGGAAAGAACTCTGTCAGGATGCTTTTTTCTTCTTTCTCACCTGCTGACCGCCGGGCCGGGTGGGTTATCCTGGTGGCGGAGCGGCTTGGTTGCCGGACCTCTGAGGCCAAACTGGTCGAGGCTCTGAGCCCGAAGGAGCTGGTTGGACTGCTTGAGGCTTCGGGGGCTTTGGGATCCGGAACTGAGGCTGGGCTCGGGCAGCTGCCTGAGGAAAAGTCGGCCGAGCCGGCAGAGCAGGTGAAGGCTTACGGGAAAGGCAGAGTTGAAGGGCTTCATCCTCCTTCTTTTTGGCCTCACACCGTTGCTGCATTGATGCCAATGCAGAGCCAAAAATGCCTTCAGGCACAATGGGCATGTACAAAATGTCCTTCTCTCTATCAGAGAGGTTGGTGAGGTTCAGCCATCGTGCACGTTCCTGAAGCACCATCATGCCCATAGCTTTAGCCGTAGCCTGGACCTCGCAGCGCTTCACCCGCAGGCAGATGTCGGTCAGTACGGTGATTTCCTCCCACACCTCCGGGTCCGGTTTCGTATTCATGTCCTCACAGAGCTCGTCTTGGTACGCTGAGAGCATGGAGGAGACATTCAAATCTCGAACCAAGATGGCGGCAGCCTTGTACGCCCTCTCGTTCAGAGCCGACTGGAAGCGGTCCGCCTTTGCAGGGAGAGCGGGAGGCCTGGAGGAAGTTGCCGAGAGCCGTGGGTGCAGGTGGGCTGCAACCAGCGGTTCCATCGGCGGCATGCGAAGCACGCCAGCCTTATCCATACCCTCGAAGTCCAGCGAGGAGGCTCCTTGGACAGGAGACCTGGAGCTGAAAGGGTGTTTGTCCCAGGATGATCTCACTTCTTGGAGGAGCTCCGGGAAGGAGAGGCTTTGCCGCCCTTGTGGCCTGAGGCAGCTTCTTTCCCTCGTAGCGGGATCTGACAGCTTCAGTGACCACGGTGGGCCAAGGGATGTTGAGCCTGGTCACAGCGCGTCAGCAGACTGACTGCATGTCCAGGTGGGCGGCCGGAGAAACCGCTCCATCCCTGGGCATGGAGGCCTGAGCGAGGGGGAGAAAAACGTTGTCATCCTTGTCCTCTGAAACGAGGAGTTACGAGGTGTCCTCGTCATCTCCGTAATCCAACTCCAACACGTCCTCGACGGGGTGGCTCGGAACGGCCAGTTTGAGCTGTGAGCCCAGCTGTGTTCGGCACACGGTTCCGGCTCCGGGAGAGCATGTTCGCCGGCGTCCCCAGGCGGTGACCCAGGGGCCGGCAGGCAAGGGTCCTTCCCCGACAGGCTAGCTTGGCACACTAGCCGCTGGTGAAGGCTCTTCAGGGTGAAGCAAGCACAGCACTCACATGACCCGGGAACTTCCAATGTGCGTGTCAGCGCCGACTGGAAGCGGTCCGCTCAGGCGTGTTCCAGCCCGAGCAGACCTTGTGCGGGTCTTTGCTTGAGATTTTGTTCCCACAGGTACAGAGGCGAGCTCCTGCGCCATTGACTCCTCTGGTGGGAGGAGCGGCTTCCATGTGGGCTAACTGGTGTGTTAGTCAGAGAACGAACAGGTGCACTGGAGTGTGAAACTGCTCGCTGTGCCTCGAGCCTATGGTGAAGGTCAGGACAGAAGGACAGTAAGTTAACTTTCGACGACGAAGAGAGAATATTAGCTGGCTCCGTCTGTGAACAGTTGAGCTAACTTACCTGAGAGATAAACAACCACCGAAGCGAGAAGAGGTGATTGAATGGTGCGTGCGTTGGGACGCTTGCTACTTATAGTAGCAGGTGACGCGTACGGCACAGTCACTGGCCAATCAGGATTGGTGTATTGAGATAAGTGCTTCTGAGGAATCCGCGGAGGGGCGTATCCCATAGTGAAACATCGAAATAAATGTTAAGAAAGAGAACCATTTTTTACTTGTTATTTTTGAAATACTTGAAAAATGCTTTAATTTGAAATAGCCTAGGAGTAACACACACACACACACACACACACACACACACACACACACACACACACACACACACACACACACACACACACACACACACACACACACACACACCCCTTGTCCTTTGACCTGACCCAAATTGTGAAGTTGTTATCATAAGACACACTCGAGTCATAAATCTAGGTATAGTCATGTGCCTCCTTAGAAATATATTTTTGATGATGTGCAATATTAATATTGCAGTTACATTTTTGTTGTTGTGTTTGTTTCTCTGTGTAACTATTACCTCTGACCTCCTTGTGCTCAACAACAGGAATTCCTCTCAGCCCTCAAATTGTCTCCTGCCACTGTGGCTAGGCCAGATGGTGGCAGACGGTACTCTGACAGTGTCAGCAGCTCAGGTGCACCGCCTGCTGGAACACCTGGACACGCGGCTGCCATGGTATGTACAGAGTACAGGTGCTGGCCAGTAAATTAGAATATCATCAAAAGGTTGAAAATATTTCAGTAATTCCATTCAAAACGTGAAACTTGTACATTATATTCATGCAATGCACACAGACCAATGTATTTCCAATGTTCATTACATTTAAATTAGATATTCATAAGTGACAACTAATGAAAACTCCAAATTTGGTATCTCAAAAAATTAGAATATTCTGAAAAGGCTGAATATAGAAGACACCTGCTGCCACTCTAATCAGCTGATTTACTCAAAACACCTGCAAAGGCCTTTAAAAGGTCCCTCAGTCTTGTTTTGAAGGCACCACAATCATGGGGAAGACTTCTGACTTAACAGCTGTCCAAAAGACAATCATTGACACCTTGCACAAGGAGGGCAAGACACAAAAGGTGATTGTTAAAGAAGCTGGCTGTTCGCAGAGCTCTGTGTCCAAGCACATTAACAGACAGGCGAAGGGACGGATAAAATGTGGTAGAAAAAAGTGTACAAGCTCTAGGGATAACCGCACCCTGCAGAGAATTGTGACGACAAACCCATTCAAAAATGTGGGGGAGATCCACAAAGAGTGGACTGCAGCTGGAGTCAGCGCTTCAAGAACCACCACGAGGAGACTCATGAAAGACATGGGATTCAGGTGTCGCATTCCGTGTGTCAAGCCACTCTTGAACAAGAAACAGCGCAAGAAGCGTCTCGCCTGGGCCAAGGACAAAAAGGACTGGACTGATGCTGAGTGGTCCAAAGTTATGTTTTCTGATGAAAGCAAGTTCTGCATTTCCTTTGGAAATCAAGGACCCAGAGTCTGGAGGAAGAGCGGAGAAGCACAGAATCCACGTTGCATGAGGTCCAGTGTAAAGTTTCCACCGTCAGTGATGGTGTGGGGTGCCATGTCATCTGCCGGTGTTGGCCCACTCTGTTTCCTGAGGTCCAGGGTCAATGCAGCCGTCTACCAGGAAGTTTTAGAGCACTTCATGCTTCCTGCTGCTGACCAACTTTATGGGGATGCAGACTTCACCTTTCAACAGGACTTGGCACCTGCACACAGTGCCAAAACCACCAGCACCTGGTTCAAGGACCATGGTATCCCTGTCCTTGATTGGCCAGCAAACTCGCCTGACCTTAACCCCATAGAAAATCTATGGGGTATTGTGAAGCGGAGGATGCAATACGCTAGACCCAACAATGCAGAGGAGCTGAAGACGACTATCAGAGCAACCTGGGCTCTCATAACACCTGAGCAGTGCCACAGACTGATCGAGTCCATGCCACGCCGCATTACTGCAGTTATTGAGGCAAAAGGAGCCCCGACTAAGTATTGAGTGCTATACATGCACATTCTTTTCATGTTCATTCTTTTCAGTTGGCCAACATTAGAGAAACAAACATTTTTTCATTGGCCTTTAGAATATTCTAATTTTCTGAGATACCAGATTTGATGTTTTCATTGGTTGTCACCTATAAATATCAAAATTAAACGTAATAAACATCGGAAATACATTGGTCTGTGTGCATTGCATGAATATAATGTACAAGTTTCACGTTTTTAATGGAATTACTGAAATATTTTCAACCTTTTGATGATATTCTAATTTACTGGCCAGCACCTGTAGACCAGTTTGGACTTTAAATGTGACAGACATGTTTCTGACATGGTGGCTCTCTGCTATCTAAACCAATATGGCTGTACAGATGTGCCTCATTTATCTGTTGGTAGTCATGTTTATGAGTCACAATTAGTCCTCATCGAATGTTCACTTCAGCTAAATCCTCTGTCCCGAGCTAGCACAAGGCATTGGGCGACAGTCGGCTGGAAAGCAACTTTTTTAAACAAGAAGAACTAGAACCAGAATGGACTGAATGGGGTCTGAGAGAACAGGAAAGAGACCCACCCAGAAGGACACAATCAGTTGTTATTTCTTAAACAGAGACCAAAGTTAATGGCAGAAGCAACAGTAGATACAGATAGAGGGAATAAAACCAGCAGAGGTAGGATATATGGTTAGCTTGTCCTCCATCAGTCTAAGCCTATAGTAGCATAACTAAAGGGTTAACCCAGGATACTAGAAGGTTGGTTATAAAAGAAAGTGTGTAGCCAAGTCTCATTCTACTAAATAACATTTTATTACTGTAATTATTCATTTTCTGTTCATTATGTCTTCTGAAATGGATTGTGGGTGATACCCTTTGCCGAAGTCCGCATCAATGCAGACTTCGGCAAAGTGCAGATTCAGGCCCAATCTCAATACTCACGCTGCACCATGCAGTCTCCTGCAAAATGCACTTGGAGAAAGTGTGCAGTAAGGCTTTGCGTGCGTGGTACACAAGTGTGCAAATAATTGCCGAATTGAAACAGGGAGCATCGCTGCGTTTTTTATCGACAATATTAAATAAGGCTGGGGGTTTACTCTTTTTCTCTGCCCCTGTTTTAGCGATGCTCTGATCAGCGGGTCTGGGGTTTTTAGAGGTCAGACCCGCGGTGCGCACCAACCACAGTGAGAGACAGACAGGGAGAGAAAGAGAGACAGACAGGGAGGGAGAAACTGCACAAAACTCCTGTTTTAATCAGAGAAACAGCTGCGGATGGAGATTTGTTCACACTAAATCACCCGACTATTTGCTGCAAGGCAAATAAAGCGTTGAGGGAAACCACTTGAGTGGGACTCTTTGAGTCTAGAATATTGAACCTTTTCACAATATTATAATTGTCTGAGATTTTGAATGTGGGGTTTTCATAAGCTGTAAACCATAATCATCACAGTTATAACAAATAAGGGCTTGAATTATCTGGCTTTGCTTGTAATGAGTCTGTCTCATATAAAAGTTTCACCTTTTAAATTTGAATGACTAACATGAATGAACTTTTGCACAATGCTCTAATTTTTTGAGTTTTATCTGTACAAACAAAAATATGTCGATTTAAAAAATGTACCACCAAGTTACTGAGATGCACGTAGGCAGTTTGCTGTATTTTAAAAGATGTTTTATAATTATTGTTTTTATAGAAAATGCGGGAAAATGTGAAGAAATGTAAGAATATTCTGCGCATGCTCATGAAAGAGACGTCTCACGTCCCTCCTTCTTCTGAGCTTGCAGACATTAACAATGTTAGAGCTCTGATTCAAGACCTGCTGGTGAGTTTCCAGAAAAACATCTGATACTCTTATGCATGCAGTGTTTCTCTTGTCAAACAGCAAAGAAAACAACACTCATGACTTCAGCGTTTTTGCATTGATTATTTCCAACCTGTAGGTGGCAGCATGAAACCTTTTCCAAAATGTATTTTATGGCATACATTTTCAGCTCATGCACATTTACACGGGGTTGTGGTCTTAATAGATCATCATTCTGTTCTAATCTACTTTTTACATTTTGTTATCTTTACCTGACAGGATGCCAAGACTGAACCTGAGGAGTTTGCCTGCAAACTGGACGTTGACCTCAAGATGCCTGACCTGGTGCCTTTTCTCAAGGTGGAGTTCCTGGTTCTGAACTTGTATACTTCTTTTAAAGATCAACACCACCACCACCGAGAAACCAATTTTTACTTGTTATTTTTGGAATGTGATCAAAAATATTTTAAAAGTGCTTGAATTTGAAATGTAGTCTCACACAAACTCTGCTCTTTGGCCTGCTCTCTGTGATGATCGTCCCTGCAGCTACCAGAAGTTGACCGACTGGAAAACATTTACCTCTGAAACGTTACAAAGGAACATTGAGAGTTTTCTTTTATAAAAGTGAAGTTATATGTTGTCGTTATAAAACTAGATTTACAAATGTAGGTACAGTCATGTGTCTCCTCTTCGGAATATATTTTTGATGACCTGCAAAACAACGCTACAATTACATGTTGTTGTTGTTTCTCTGTGTAACTATAACCTCTGACCTCCTTGTGCTCAACAACAGGAAAACCTACCATCCCTCAGATTGTTTCTGCTGATCACTCAGCAGAAACTGTTCATGCCCCTGCAGCAGGAAGTCAAAACAGAAGGTGGCAGGACCCCTCCTGCTACCGTGGCTAGGCCAGATGTTGGCAGACGGTACTCTGACAGTGTCAGCAGCACAGGTGCACTACCTGCTGGAACACCTGGACACGTGAATGCCGTGGTATGTACAGAGTAGACCAGTTTGGACTTTAAATATGACAGACATGTTTCTGACATGGTGGCTCTCTGCTATCTAAATGAATATGGCTGTACAGATGTGCCTCATTTATCTGTTGGTAGTCATGTTTATGAGTCACAATTAGTCCTCACCGAATGTTCACTTCAGCTAAATCCTCTGTCCCGAGCTAGCACAAGGCATTAGGTGACAGTCGGCTGAAAAACACCACACACTACTGCATGGGCAGGGGAAAAAAGAGGGGACTGAAATTATCCAACCCTTCAAGCAGAACCAAACGTAATTCTCCCCATAAGGGGGATTTCACCTCAGTTTAATTCAGGATATTAAATCAGGTGGCCTTACCAGTACTGGACAGAAACTCCTACCAAAACACCTCTACCAGCTTCTGGCCAACTCACAAAAGAGCAGAAGGGAGGGAAGCTTACTAAATGAACTTAGGGTTCAACAAAAGGCTTCCCACAAGGTTGAGTGTCCAAAAGTCCTGAGTTCTTTCCAGGCAAACTCTCAATCTCCTCCAAACCTCCAGTTTTCACATCCTCCTCCTCCTCTCTCTGTGTGCACATCTCATCAGTTTTTAAGCGCTGCAGCTGGGGAATGTCAGATGCAGTTCAGCTGTGCTGAGAATGAAGTGCTGCTGTCCATGGTGCTGAACTGGAGCAGCGCTGGGAGAAGTCTTTGTGTAGTCTCCCACAGCACTGAAGGGGAGCCCAGGGACGTAACAAAATATATTGAATTTTTTTATTTTTATCCTCTTAAGGTGGTGAAGACTGAAGTGACTGACGGGGACCAAGACCAGATGGCTTCTCAGTCCATCATACAGCAAGGTGAGATGTTCCTAGAGCTTCTTCAACCATATCTCGATTTGTTACTTAGACCTTTTAAGCTCTTGTTCATATAACGGGATTTTGAAATAACATTATTTCCTTTCTTTTTTCATTATAGCCTATTTGGTAGCTTAATATACTTCATCACCAAGCCCTATCCCTCTTCAACCAAAACAAACAAAAAATGACTTAAACAAGATGTCACAGCAAGGAGAGGTGGATGAAATTGTCCTGAAAATATATGGCAATATTTTGATTTTTCACAAGTCTGACCAAAAACAAACTTAATATCAGACGGGACTTTGGATAAAACCAACATGTAGGGGAGAAGCACGCTGTTTGTCTCAATCACCTTACTCTGTGATAGGGTTGGGCAATAAATTGAAAATTCATCATTATCAAAATTTCTGACTCTTATGGAGATCATTTTTTCCATGTCAATAAATGTGATAGTAAAAATGAAAAGATTTGTGTAGGTTGGCAGCGCTCATGTCCCTTTAAGAAGCTATACCTCCTTGAGTCATGTAAAAGTGTGACTCGACGTAATACGTGTGACAGCCCCATCTAGTGGACAACTTTTGTTTCTGCGCATACCTATAGTTACAATCCATTTATAGTTATCGAGGTGAAATCCTCGATATACCATGATATTGATTTTAGATCATATCGCCCAGCCCTACGGATTTTCATATGATCAGGCAGCACACTTGTTTGACCTTAAATTTCCCTTTCCCAGTCCCTTCGACTGCCTGCAGTGAAAATCCTGCAACTTCCCCCATGATTTCCTGGCTGAGAACATGCCCATTATAGTCGAGTTTAAATTTACTCTGTGCCTTTCCTGAAGCTGTCTTGGACCAGGATGCATTTTTGGAGTGTAAAGAAAGCTGGTGAATCACAGAGCGACACTCTCCGTAACCAACCTGGGCAGAGCGACAGTAACACCTTATGAGGATATGTAATGCAGATAGAAGGGGATACTTAAATGATAACACTATTGCTCTTTCTTTCAAAAAAAAAAAAAAACAGGAACAATTCCAGTGAGCCTGCCTGCTCAAATCTCCACAGATCAGATGGACAAGATGAATGACCCTGAAGAAGGCTCTTTCAGGTACATTTCCATGTTGTTTCAGACTGCTGCCACATGGGGGCAGAGTTTCACTAAGCAGCTTCCTTTCAAATAACAGGATGACGTGATCGTCAAAGCCACCTTTTTTTCATGCTCCAGAATCTGTCGCGTCAACTATGGTCTTAAAAATGTTAAGATGATAGCAGCGGGTAGGGTGGGGGTGGGGGTTACAGAAGCCAGAAAAGTGACTTTTCATGCTAATTTTTTTATTTAAAAAGAAAAACTTGACGGAAACAGTTGCACAAATTTGAGCAAACTTTGGAACTGGCCTAAGAACATTTAGGAGATGGGTTTTCTGTTTAGTTTTTTTCTCCCGTAGCACAGTGGCGGGCGGTGCATTCCACCCCTGGGCCTTCAGTGATTTCCTACTCAGTCCAATCTAAATTAACACACCTTAAAATACCATCAGTAGGACATCACAGCTGGAGAAACCTCTCTCTCTCACACACACATGCACACACACACACACACACACACACACACACACACACACACACACACACACACACACACACACACACACACACACACACACACACACCAGTGGCTGGGCAAGGCGTCATTTCCGGAGCCTTAAAAATCAATCTCGCATTCCCAATTGAGAGTAGGAAACTAAGACCACGGATACTGTCAAATCTCAAAAATGAAAGATGGGTTTAAGAGATGAGACAATAAAATAAATAAGTAAAGCAAACACATTATTTGCATTTGTTTTGGAGAAAATTGCACAGCGAAACAATTGAACATGTTGGCGCAGCTGCACACACCACGTCATACACAATATAAATTGCATAGAAACAGAACACAGAATTATTTCATTTAGCCATTTTATTTCGTTACCATTTATTATTAACAAAATGAAATGACAAAACATTAAAAAATACTTTCTACTCACCAACATAAATGTCCAGCATGGGTCTCCTCCTCTCCTGCTCATTTGAAAATAAAATCCATCCTTCTTTCTTTCCTCAGGAAAACCTCAATGGCTCTGTACACTTTATCTGTGCACTTCAGGTCCATGAGTGGATCCTTTTCTATGGACATGGAGGCTAATGCTGAAAGACGTGTCTGTCGGGTCGTGTTTCTGGCGTTCGTTTTAACGCGCTTTAATGCTACCAAATCCATCTGATGCGAGCAACAGGCATTCCCAGCAGAATAACCTGCAGCGGTTCTCTGAAGCTGTTAGCCATGGGTACCGTTCATAGTTGCTAGCCTGAAAATGACGAACAAATCCTTTCCCCTGCTGGGACAAGCCAGCTAGCATTGGAGTCGGACGACCTGTTCTCACAAGATTCATTTTTTCTTGAAAGGTCCGTCTGGAAAATGGTGTGGCAAGTAAATCTGCAACCAAGTCTGTCCCTTCTCCTCTTTCAGCCATCATGTGTTCAAAAATACACCGATAGCTGCCTATAGATACATATCTCTGTGTTTAGTTTTGATATTTTGCTTCATGCCGCTAGAAAAGTTCTAACTACTGCTTATCCAATCACAGGATGCGTTCATGTCAACTTTTGCGTGAGGCCAGCTAGCTGGCCCGGGCCAAGCTGACTCGTGAGCTGATTGGCTATCGCAACTAGATCGTCTCTGTTCACTTACAGCGGACAGTGGGCTTCTCGATTGATTCTGAAGGCCTAGAGCAGACTTAATCTGCCTGAAAACACAAGCTAGCTTAAATCTGAGTGGATAACACCCAGCCTTGGTATTTTAACACTGGAAGCAGCGCAGCCAAGTGGGTATAATAGGATAAAAAGAAAATAGACCAGTGAACATTTTTTTTTATTTAAAAATATTTACCAAAGGAAAAAAAATACATTTACGTTTTTGAGTACGTTTAGGCCAGCAGAGAAGGCTTTGCTGGCCCTGACTGCCCACCACTGCCGTAGCACCATTATTAATATTGGCTGTGGTCGTCTGTCTCTGTCACTCATTCCCTCATTATCTGTCCCTCACTCAGCACCATTCATGAGTGTGAGACAGAAAGATCCACAGAAGGTTATTAACTCTCTTTTCCTTCACAGTGACAAACACTGCCGCATTGTGCACTGTTTGATTTGTCACGAGCCGCAGGACATGCTGCTTGCACACTTGGGCAGTGTGTGCATGAGAAACAGCACACCTGAGGAGAGAATTGAGGAACTGCAAAAGGCCACAGAGTCCATGAAGAAATGGGTCCGCCAAGGAAGGTCCTGGAATTATGACGAAATGTGTAAACGCTTCCCCGATAAGTCCTGCAGACATGCACTTGTTTCAGATCTTTTGAAAATGGGCTTTTTTGTGCAAAACGCCCCTCATCCCGCTGACATGGTAGTGGATTTAGCTGTAGAGCTCCAACCCTCCTGCAGCTTTGCCACAATAGCCACCAGTGACAGAAGAGGTGCCAGTAGCAGTGCCAAGGAGAATCCCAGTTATGGGGAGAGTGATTCTAAAGGTGGCCCGTCCTGGCAAAAGTAAGTTGACACCTTTACACAAAAAACAGAATAAAAAATGTTGGTGCAACAGCAGTAAAGTAGATTCACAATAAAAATAATCAATACAGTTTAAAAAAGTTAAAATTCCAATTGAACTTATTTATCAGTGCAGAGTTCATTTCGTTTTCATGATTAGTTACGTTTCCTACCGAAGAAAACTCAGCAGATTGCTTCGAGTCACTGACTTGCTGTGTCAGACTTTACATTAATCCCTCATACTAAAGCCCCCTTCAGACAGGCCATGAAAAACGGAAATGTTCGGGACTCTGTCCTTGAGACCTTTGTGTCTGAATACAAACATCCGGATAACCTTTTCCGTAATTAAGCCAGCTGATGCCCCCTAGTAATAGGATCGGACTTGTCACAGACAGGGTGGCTGCTTCAGACTGGTGAGGTCGAGTTCCGGACAGGGAGGAGGAGGGGACCGGGGGACGCTGTGCGCACCTAGATAGCTCGCTCCTGTAGAATGTGGCGAACCATAGCAGCTCGCCTCCTACGGTACCGTCTCCTAAACGCGCGACGGAGCGCATCACACCGCTTCCGTGATTCCTTTATTAGCAATTGAGCTTCATCATCCAGGTCTCTTATGCGTCTTGCTTCCGTGATTCCTTTATTAGCAATTGAGCTTCATCATCCAGGTCTCTTATGCGTCTTCGTATGCGCAGAATTATGCTTAACATAAGTCCGATCAGTGAGAGGAATTCTATCTCTTCGTCTGCCATGTTTGACTGAATAGCTTTGTTTGGGTAAATGACGCATGTACGCCCGCCGCACTATGTTTACGCAATATCCGGGTACAGCCTTCCCACCCTCTCCACCTCAGACTCCTGGAACTTTTCCCTGCTGTGTGAAGGCAGCCGAAAGGACAAGTTCAGGTACAAAAGTGGTGTGTCTGAAAACACAGTTCTGGTTAAAAACCGGACTGAATTGTCCACACATATTCCGGAATGCCAATCTGAAAAGGGCTTTAGCAAGCATGTAGCGACAGTGGAGAGGAAAACTCCCCTTTAACAGGAAGTAACCTGGCTAAGTATGAGCAGCCATCTTTTATGACTGGAGGTTTGAGAAGACGGAGCAGATACACACAAAAAGATAATACTAATAAATGACTGTCAATAAGCACACACACAGCAATTTTCAGGGATGTGTGGAAGAAGTGATTAATCTGGAAACTGTTTCTTTCAGTTTGGACGAATCAATTCAAGGGAGGAGTAAGGCACTAAAGAGGGCCAGAGATGTCAGTGATGAAGATGCCACTAAGTATGGCAAACGTGAAGAGCACCACTTGTGTAAGTTTCAGTTAGCAATCTAAAGAAAACACAAGCTGAATGACACATCCATCTCTAATTAGAAATATTTTAATTGGCGTTTCTTATGTTTTTACAGCAGTAGCTTACAGAAGTCATTCAAGTGGGACTCAGTTAACAAAGCAGATCAACAATGGGTACACCGCCAATTACCCCCGTCCAGAGGACGTTGTCGACAAGCGAAAGCCACCACAGAGGAGTGACACACAAAATGCCCCAGACATCAAAACCGAGAATATCCAACAGCAACTCTCTGGTCCTGCCATGAGATACTTTAGGGATCCATGAGGACAAGGTACTTCCACATATTGTTACAGACACCTGACTGTTGTTTTTAACTTAGGTCACATTACAAAAGTAAGTTTGGTTAAAATGGTTATGTTTTTCACAGGGGTTGTTGCCACCAGGGGTTTTCCCATAGCTCCATTAGCTGGGATGCCCATGGAACGATCACCAAGATGGGAGAGCAGATGCTGGACCAAACGGGATGAGCTGTTTTTTTTCCAACCAAAATAGCAATGATCAAAACTGTATTTCTTTCCTTGTAGCTCTTTTTTTTAGACATCCGGGGTTTTCGAGGTGGGGTGGGGTGGAGGTGGGGGTCTTCTCGTAGTGCTGCTGCAGCTTGTACTAATAATGGCTTTAGTCCTCTTTTTCTGCCCTGACTCAGCACCGTTCGTGAGTGGGGGACAGGATTTACCGTAATAACACCAACTGGACTTTAAAGCACAACTTTTCTTCTTTTAAAACCTGTTTGAATTTTTCTGATGGCACAAAACTTTGCTTAGGTACGGTAATTCAAAGCCAGCATGTAAACCGTGTCAGAGTTTGGTGTTCTAGTGGTGTAGTATTGGCGTAGTCATCTTAGGATAACAAAGCTGGGAAAACACTTCATGCATGTTTTGTTAATAAATAGATTTGAAAGCAAATTTCGCCTTCAGTTATCCTCCTTGAAATCTGTATACTGTGAATAATGTGCTGAAATCGTAATTGGACTCTTCCTAAAATTGTTGAGCCCTAGCCCTACCCTGTCATCCTCCTAAGAGCCTTAGAACTTTGTTTTTCTGAAGCTAAACAAGGTTCAGGATTTGATCTGGCTGGAGAAGCAGAGGACGAGCCGAAAATTGACAAAATATTTCTACTTAAAAAAAGTACAGTTCTATACCTGTTTTAGCATCAAATTTAGAGTGTGTCTAGTGTGTTATTTTGAAACAAATAAGAATGCAGTTTTGATTTAGCCTACAAAGTTCAAAATAAAGCTT